CAAATTTTAATATTGAAAATTGAGCTCAGAAAAAATCATTGAAATTTTCAATAATTTCTTAGGTTATGTTAATAATTTAATGAGACCAGCAAACATTCTATCAGAAATTTTTACATCTGATGTTGAATCAGTCATAGATGAGAATAGTGATAAGGATTAAAATGTAATTGAATGTTTAAACTGTTAATTTAAATATCCTATTGTATAACAATTTCATAATAAATATTTTTTAACCAAATATTTTATATATGTCCTTGTTTATATCCAAATGAATTTATAAAACAATTTTTACAATGTTAAAAACATATTTAAAAAATAATAATATTCTTGTTCTATCGAGGTGATCCTAGAGATATATCACTTTATGCAATTAACGAGTTAAAAATAGAAATAATGTTTAGAAACAGTTTTTTTTTTTCAAGTTTTGACTAATTTAGGGAAAAAAGACAAATGGTATAACAAAATTGAAGGGTTCCATCAAAAATACGCGGAAATTCGATCATTTAGCTACTAGATTTTATGGTTATGAGCCAATAAAGTGAGTAAATATTAGAAAAACACGATTTTTTCGCAATTTGAAAATTTGTAAGTTAAAAATGATTATTTTAACAATGATGATTCATAGCCCGTAAGAAAATAGATGAAAAAGCATACATCTACATCTAACTATCTGATTTTGAGGTAAGTTAAAAAATGTGCGAAAAAGATAAAAAAAACGTGGTATTTTCGAATTTTATCTTTATGAAAGAGATAAATGGGGACTTTTACAATAGAATTTGATAATATGAAAGAAAAAATGTTGAATTACCAACTGAGTTTTGGGGTTACGTACAAATAAATGAGTAAAAAAACGGTTTTTCTTATTTTTTCGATGCTTTCTGCTCAGAAATTGAGATTTCTGCCTTGGCCATTCAAAAGAACAAAAAAAAATCCATAAAAAATTACTATTTAAAAGTTAGCCAAAAATTATTAACATAACCTAGAAATTATTGAAAACTTCAATGATTTTTCCTAGGCTCAATTGTCAATATAACAATTGAAAAAAAATCAAGCTATTTTTTATTCGAAAGATACAACCTTCATGAATTTTTTCAGATTTTTTAAAATAAAATTGGGTCCAGAAAAAATAAAGTCGAAAAAAGCTTCTTTTTAGATTAAGGGGTTCTATGGCCTCTGGAAAGCTGAAAATTTGAATGAAGTCATATTTTTATACACTTTATCGAAAGCACAGATCGTCTATCCCACTATAGTTTTTGATGAACATTTGAAAATGTTATTAGACACCCGCACAAATAATGAAAAAAAATAGAAAATAATGATTTTTTTATTAAAAATCCTAGACACAAATAATAAAAAGAAGGTATTGTATTTAATAAAAAAGTATTACAATACTTAAAATTGTCTTTTAACATTAACATTTTTTAACATTAACATAAATTTAACATTTTAACATTAAAATTGATGGTTCTCTTCTAAGTTGGCACAATTTTCATGCTAGTCAATTTGCCTTTTTTTAGGTAAATAAATAGCAGTTTGTTGAAGTACTATTTGCCAGATTGTTGCAGCTGAGTTAATCAAGTTGCATGATACTATAACAACAAGATATTCTCACTTGCTGTTCTAATTTTAATTGAGTTTGCGCATGTCGTCATAGCGAGACAAAGCCAAGGACTTGTATGTATCATATTTTAACGATACATCATATGGCAACGTTGTTCTATTATTGTAATGAACAACTTCAAAACTTAAACTATTAACGGTAAGTATACCTCGATGCCATATCTTGCACTAAGAAATCATAACTAGTTACTTTCTGTGAAAACGTGTTTTGAAAATAAGTAATTTGTAAAATTAATTAAAGAAATATATGAATCTACGATTTGATTGTGTGTATTACAAACAAAATAAATATTGCTACAAAACATAAATTAAATATAAAAAGCCGGCAAAATGTAAAGAATTTGACCATAAAGGAAAAGCGGGTCATACTTGAGACTTTATGAATATCATTTAAGCATTTATTTTACAATCTTTGTGATTTTCTTTTGCGGTATTGTAATGATTTTAATATTTTGATTTATAATTCGTATTTTAAAATACATTTTAAATCTAAAAAAAAAGTAATTTTACATCTTCGCTAACATTTACATATTTTGCAGCTTCTATTAAGTTTTTTAAATAATTTTTTGTTATTTTTAATGTGTCGCCATTATAACTACTAAAAATATGTTCCAGTTCACTACATACTACATACATCCAAAGTAACTTTTGTTAAAGACCTATCAAAAATAAAGTATTAAATAAAGTAAAATAAATAAATATTAAATAAAATAAAAATAATAAAAATTAAGTATTACTTCAAGTTCTAATAAAATGGGCATTAGTATATATTATTATCTATAGAAACATTTATTATTATCCATAGAAACGTTTGCTCTGCTGTTAAAGTTTAACTTGCTGTCATTAAAGTTGTCTCGGGCTTACGTCACAAAAACGTGCGCGTTGACTTATCTTGTTTTGTTATAGTATCATCAAGTTGCAGAGTTTCTTTTGCAGTTTTTCCTTTCCTACTTTTTAGTTACTTTTTTCATGTTTGCTAGTTTGCTAGTTTCAGGTTTTGCTAGTTTCTGCATTTTTCGGGAAAGTTTTACACTGTATAATATAAAGAAATAATATAATTTTATACCTAATATTTCTGTGAAATTTCAAGTTCACTGGATATAAAAATATACAACCTGTAACATTTTACTAGTACAGAAATATGGACTTTATAAAGCCTTAAGCTATTTCTAATTTCGAAAAGATATATCGTTAAAAATACATGTATATATTTTTGTTTTCTATCAAATATGGTGGTAAGTGATATATTGATGAAAATTTACCCTGTCTATAAATTTTAACATAGTATACAGAAATAAAATAAGTAAAATAAAAGTGGGTGTTCGGCTTGTTACCAATTTATTTAAAAATGTATAATGTAAATGAAAATATGTATGTAATGGTTAAGGTTATTAAGTCTCTCATGCCTGAATCTTTTCAGACATGACAGACTCAGAATCTAACAATGAGAGAATCGATCTGCAATAAGAACAATCTATTATACCATAGAGAAAAATATAAATTTTACAGAGAAAAATATAATTTTCTAGAGTTTTAAGCCTTCCAGAAGCCGTCTCAAAGTACTATTCACTATATGCCCATCAAATTCAAATTCCAGATTTTATATTAGGGCATTTGAAAATTTTTCCGGACGTAGTATGGTTGAATCTAAATACGACTATACTGCTGACAAAAAAAAGTAAGTATGGGCTAACTATTGACCTATAGAGCGTACAAAATACTAAATATAAATGATAGGAGTCTCAAGCAAAAAACTACTTACGGCTCTTCAAAATTTAGATATTTAGTACAGCTAGAATGATATAAAATAAAGGAATTTCCATTTTCAATTATGTTTCATACTCAATCACATGTAAAAACACAAAGACAAGCCAATAATATACTCTAGAGGATAGTTTACCGCAATATTTCATCAATATATCAAAATAAAGATATATTAAGTAAGCCAACCGCCAAAAATTCAATATTGGACGAATATTTTAATTTTTGGTGTTTTAATGATCTCTTCCAGTTTGAATTTTTTTTAATAATACTTCCAAGCAACTTTTTACTCAGAATACTCTAGTTACAAACTTACTCTAGTTAGTTTAAGTTTTGTAAATAATTTATTCCATAAAATCAATCTTATTTAGGATATTGTTGTTTTTTATAAATTTTATGAAATATAATTTTGTCTTTCTTCCACTTATGACAAATACGTTTTAAGTCCGATATACAGTTCATGTGTATTAGCATATTTAATTCAGTTACTTTAGTACTACAATTAATTCACGAATGAATATAGTTTGCTATAATAATCAAGTTACAATATCGAATGAAATTATATCTCTACTGTTGCGTACGATTTGTCAGTCTTTGTATTTTGATTCGGTAACAGCTACGCTACACGAAATGTGCAAATATTTACATCTTCTACAAAAGCTTTCTTGCTTTGATATATTTATCACAGTAAATGTCATAAGAGTACGAGTTGTCAGTCTTTGTATTTTAATTCGGTAACAGCATTGTACTATGACGTCATTTCGATCTTGTTTTGATTCCGTCAGGTAATGATAGCTGAATACGAACTCCAACACAAAGCCAACAAACATAAAAGTCTGTTTATACTAAAGTCTCTTTAAAAAATATATAAGTTCAAGCCACGAAAGTAACTTCACACTTTAAATAATTATTTAACATTAATTGTACAAAAGCTTGCTGTCAAAACACTGTCAAGACTGAAAATGTCCATTATAAATCACCGTCGTTCGTCATATTGCTGTCTTTGTTTGATCTATTCCCTTGTAGATAGACAAACGGCTTACTTTCATAATGTTGTGAGTAAAAAGGAGTAATAATACAAAAATAATCCGTAGATAATGAAATAGCTATTAAAATAATCAACGGACAAACTTTGATTAAAAAGAAATCGGGACATACAAATAAAGAAAGGGTAGAAAAGAGGACTTTTTGGTATATTTCTAGTGCCAAAATAAAAATAAAAATTGTAGACTCATTATAGTTATTATATTCTTTATACCTTCATTCTTGATATATATATATATATATATATATATATATATATATATATATATATATATATATATATATATATATATATATATATAATCCTGGTACCTCAGTTTTTGGAAATTATTTTATTTTTATTTTTCGTTATTTAATTCGCAACAGCTTTGCGAAAATTCGTATTTTCTTTAACATGAACAAAGAAATATTCGTTGAAAATATTGACTGTATAAGTGGAAGGAAGGAAAGGTTTAAGTACAGCGAAAGCACTTAAGGAATTTAAGAAATGTTTTTATTAAGATTTTCTATTTAAATTGTTTATTTCAAATTTGGGTAACAAAATGTATACCTTCACCAATAAAGTATATATTTACCTCACGCTTTTTGTTTGATTTATGTATAAATTTAATCTATCTATTGCATTTTTCTTGCCTAGTATTACCATCATTTCCGCTATGCTTGGTCCTTCCTAAAAAGCAAGAAATGAAAAATTAGACCTTCATTTAAGAGTGTAGGCGCAAAATTTCGGAGGCCAATGCTTTTTAAATGCATTTATTTTTTTCGAATCCTGAGAAAACTAATTAATATTTTTGAAAAATTTAAACGCAGAATGAAAGATTACATTATTGCCGAGGGCCAAAGGTCCTTTAGAATAAACAAAAAGTTTCTTTTGAATGAGATATTTGAAATTAAAAATCACACTTAATTTTCTCTTCTTTTTCGCCCCTGCAACTTACTAAAATAAATATTATAGAAGGGTTCAGGGACTTTTAGCAATCTTTCATTCTGAGTTTAAATTTTTTTAAAATACTTATTAGTTTTCTCAGGATTCGAAAAAAATGAATGTATTTAAAAAGCATTAGTCCGAAATTTTGCGCCTACGCTCTTAAGGTTCCTATATATTCCTTAATGATTTAAAAGTCGAATTTTAGACCAAAACCACTTTAATTGGAACTATACATGAGTGTGAGAGGGCTAAGGAACTGTTCACCATATTACAATGATCATATTTATTTCTTGTTACTGTAGTTCTTTCAATTGAAAAACACATTTTTAATTATAGTATCAATTCTGGTCATAAAGGAAATAAGATCTGTGTGTAAAACCAATATGAGGAAGTATCAGCAACCATTTAGTAAATTATCAGCCAATAAAGCTGCAATATTATTATTGTTGAACAATTTCGATGCATTATTAATGTGTTAATATAACATTTAAATTAATGTTTATAAAGGAGACTTGTTTGTAGAAGCGTAAAAGTTCCGAAAAGATGTTCTTATACAAGATGGCAATTTGAGATTGGATTTAATAATTGGACTTAATCATGGAGAATCAAGGTAAACAAAATCAAATCGATTTAGACTGATTTCAGTTTTTCATATCCCGATCCAGGTTCCACATGAGAATACTGCAAAAATATTTAGTGTATCACTCTTGATGTAAGACTCAGGTGGATAGTACATGTTAAAAAGAAAAGGCAAGAGCTTGGAATTAGATAAAAAATGTAATAGTTACTTGAACGTGACTTCGAATTATCCACTTAGTATAACAAGTTGTAAAAAAATGCTAATACATACAGGAAACTAGATAAAATAATTTTTAGAAAAAGTAGAGAAGCAAAAAACAATGGATGGCAGAGAGATGTTGGGACATTGAACAAAGAAAGAATTCTTCTTCTTCTTTTGGCATTATAATCCTGGATGGGTCTTTGCCTGTCTGGCTATATCCTTCCATTCCAATCTCTTTTGGGCTCTTCTCCTCCACTGTCTTATATTCATGGTTTTCATTCCATCTTCCACGTCATCCAACCATCTCGTCCTGGGCCTTCCTTTTTTCCACCTTCCTACTGGCTTCCACTGTAACATCTTCTTTGTCGTTTTCGTGTCTTCTTGTTGCTGAACATGTCCCACAGTCTTTGACTTTTCACAAATCTTACAATGTCATATCCTTCATTTAGTTCATTAACCTCGTCGTTTCTCCTGATTCTCCATGTGACGTCTTCCTCTTGCAATTGTCCATATACTTTTCTCAGTTTTTTTCTATCGAATGTCCTGAGTTGGGCTTCCTCTTTTTTCGTCATTGCCCAGGTTTCACAACCATAGGTTACTACGGGGCTAATCAAAGTTCTGTAGATAGTCATTTTGGTTCTTCTGTCTAATAATTTCGATGTCATCAATCTTTTATTACCATAGTATGTACGATTTCTACCGGAAATACGCGCATTAATTTCGCTACTTACGGAATTCTTCTGATTGATTTCTGTGCCCAGATATGTGAAGGCATCTGCACGTTCAATAGTATAGTTGTCTATTGCTATATTATTTTCATTCTCAGGTGTTCTTTTGATGGTCATGTACTTAGTTTTTGTTTCGTTTATTTTAAGCCCTCTTTTTTGTGCTTCAGGATCAATTTCCTTGAACGTTTCGATTAGTCGTGTCTTGTTTCTATTAATAATGGCGACATCGTATGCATTTGCAGTAATTTGTCCTGTTTTGGTGTTTATATGGCCGTTTACATTGGTTTTTTTGATGACTGCTTCTAGAACTAGGTTAAACAGCATGGTTGAACGTGCGTCTTCCTATCTCACCCCCATGTTGATGTCAAACTGGGGAGACAGTTCTCCATCTACTCTAACTGCGGCTTTTGAACCGTACAACGTCATTTTTATGAGGCTGATATATTTTTTGATATACCTAGATTTTGGAGGTCTTCCAGCATTTTGTTTCTTTTCACACTAGCAAAAGCTTGTTTCTATGTCGTATTCATAAGCTTTCTCTTGTATTGTTCTAAATATGAATATGTTGTCTGCAGTGGCTCGATTTGATCTGAATCCATTTTGGTAATCACCAATTATATTTTCAGAGTATTCTAACAATCTAGTGTAGATAATGTCAGAAAGTATTTTGTATGTTACATTTAGCAATGTAATTGGTCTCAAATTCTGTCATTCCCTCTTATCTCCTTTTTTATATATTGGCTGTATCGGATCCTCCATATTTCAATATGTGAAACGACGAACGACTACAACGACCCCCATATGCCAATAAGATCAATAAAAAGAAACAAAGAAACCTGTTATCTCTAAAGAAGAGGTATAACATATCGCCCTATTACAGAAAGATGGTAAAGCCATAGGATTTGATGGAGGGCAAAATTCCAAAGTTCCTGGCACACGAAGACGGTTGGTGTTAAGTCTTTTGAAAGATTTGTTTAAAACACCTAGCAAGGCGTTGATTCTATTAATGGGCCCAAAACGAGATTGCCGTTGATCCTGATTTTCATAAGCGGATTTTGTTTAGCGATGAAGCTCACATTTAAAGGAAAGACAAACATAGACATATGATTTGTGAGGTTATGTAATTGTTTATATTTATGTTTAATTATATTATATTTATGTTATTATATTTAACAATGTTAATATAATTGTATAGTATGTCTATGATTGCCGTAAGTCAATTAAACCGGGTTAATGTTTCTATGCACACCACATAAACTTTCATTAAACACTGGTTCCCTTTAAAACATTTGTCTGTGCGAACGAGATACGCGTACTTAATTTTTCATGGAGAGTGGGCATTCTGATTGTATATTATTCTGTGACGTTACTGTAAATAGTGACCGCTATAGAGCCTGATTACCAACAGGACGGAGCAACATGTCACACAGCTTGTGTCACAATTGATTTATTGAACGTTTGCTTAAAATAAAGCTTTTTGGATAGTTAATCATTTAACGTAGTTATTTTGAACTTAAATTCAAAGATTATTACACAATACCAAAGTTTATCAAGTAGGTAGGCAGGTTATTAAGTAAGTCATGACACGGATTCATTTAAAGTACAGTTATGAAAAATTTACTGCTTTGTTTGGAAATTTTAACTAGATATTATTAAAATAAAAAGTTTACAGTTCACATAATAATCATAAGTTGAAAATTTGTTTTAAAATAGTGACGATAACTGTACCTAAAAAGTATATAAATTTTAGTATTGTGATATACCACCTTAATCTTGTTCCAGTCTACAGAAATATACTTCCTCTTACCTTCAAACCGCTTAAAACATGTCTTAACATCTGCATAAATTCTCCGTATTTAACGCCATGATCTTGACAAAATTCTTTCAGCACACTAGTCACTTCTTCCATTTTTAAATCGTTTTGATTTTCAAGTTTAGATTTAAATAGTGTTAAAATTTCGACTTCGTTATTAATTACCGTAGTATGTGTTGGTATAAACCAAACAAATTTAAATTTATTGGACACAAGGTCTGAAAGCTGATTGATTCTAGGTGCAGACCAACATAAAATGTCTTTAATTTGTTCATCGTTTATTTGTAAAGAATTATTCTGTATCCTAAAATAATGAAATTATAAAAAGACAAGAAAAACTTTTAAAGTTACATATAAAAGTCTAGGATTAGACTTCGGCAAATATGCAAATTTTATATATTTTTATAAAAGTGTGCATAAAGTGCATATAACTTGAAATTTTGGTTGTAGCTATAGATATTCATGTAATCAATAAACAGATGGAAATCCCAATATTTAATTTTGTTTCAATGTGTCTAGATATCCCAATTTTTTATATTAGATAAGATATTAAATATCAGTTATGTTTAAGGAAAAAAAGTTTACCAATATTAAAATAAGCATAATACTCCAAATATTTTACTAATTCAAAAACTAGTTCGATCAAACAATTAAATGGTTTTAGTAAAGTCCGATTTCATCGTTACGTTGGTAAGTAGTCTATAAGTTTATCTTATCTAGGCCATATTCATAAAATTTATTGAATTTTTTCTTAAGCCTTTTTTTTCAGTATAACATTAAAAGAAGTTTAAAAAAATGTGTTAAATACCTTTGTGGGAATGTAATTTTTAATAACTCCTTAACTTTGTCCACCAAAATATTTAATTCATAAGGATCATTTATTTTCTTTTCCAGTTCTAGTTTATTAAATTGTAATAGCCTTTCATTCATTACCTTCCCAGAGTGTGAGTTGATTCTTGAAACATCAAACTAAAAAGATAATGTTGATTTAAAAAAACTCGAATATCGAAGTAAAACATCAAATTTGTTGTAAGTGGTATATTTAATTAAAATTAAAAATCCAAATGGTTTAATAGTTCAGAACGGTTTCGGACTATTCAGTCCATCTTCAGTGAACCAAAAAGCAAGTAATCCCACTAAATTAATAAAAACGTAAGGTAAAATTTTGACTGTTATATGCAAAAATGTTGTTTAGGTTACTTACTTTTGTAGTACTTGCCTAAATAACTACAAAACCAAACAGTGGTTGGGTTTATATTGATGAAACCATACATGAAAGTATTAAATTATATGGCAGTATGCCGATGAAATTGGATTACCAACCGGGAACATAAGTCCCTACTCGAAAAAATTATTTCTATAACCAAATTGTCGAAATGGAAAATGTCAACTAACCTGAGATTCCAGAAGTAATAATTGACTGTTTTCAATGACAATGACACTCGGAACAAGATTGATAGTTCGTTTTAAAAAAGTAAACCAGGTCAAGGACCCATATGTTCAACTCTATATAAAATTTTTATTATATTAGTTTATTAAAATGAAGACAGTAGTTATTATTTTTATTCCTTTGTTTATATTTTATGAATTGACTTCTTCTTCTTCTAGTACCGTCTGTGTGTTTAACCCGGTCCAGTCGCGAATGTTTTTCAGCCAGGATATTTTGTCGTCAACCAGGATCCCTTTTTCCTTCGATTTTACCCTTCATAATCAGCTGCAACAACTCGTACTCATCATTTTTAAGTATGTGCACCAAATATGCTGTCTTTCGCCTTTTAATGGTGGTCAAAAGTTCTCTGTCTCTTCCCATTCTGTGTAACACCATTTCGTTCGTAATATGATCGGTCCATGGTATCTAAAATTCTATTAAGAAGAATAGAGTTGATATAACATTTTACCATCCGATATCGGATTTGCAGATTAAGTTTTTGGTTACTCAGAAATTTCCTCATGTTCAAAAAGGCTGCTCTTGATTGCTCTATTCTTGAGCGAATTTATGATTTCGGGTTCAGATCTTCCGTAATCCAGACTTCTAAGTATTTTATTTCGTCCACTTGCTCAATATCTTCATTTTTTATCTGGATCCTTGTAATGACCTTGCCCCTCTTACTGATAACCATGGTTTTTGTTTTCTTTATAGTTATTGTTAAACCAAACTGTTCCCCAGTATCACAAAATGTGTTTAGTAACGTCTGCAGGTCTGTCCACTTTCAGCGATAATGACTGTATCATCAGCATAACGGATGTTGTTTATATGTTCACCATTTATCTTGATCCCTTCTGTATAGTTATCAAGTGCCTGCGTAAATAACTCTTCGAAATATATATTAAATAGTAATGGTGAAAGTACACAGCCCTGTCTCACTCCTCTACTTATCCGTTACGGAACCGTGTTATTTCCATCTAATGTTACCACAGCCTGTTCATTCCAATAAAGATTTCTCACTATGAATTGACTATAAAATTTAGGCGAATTGAAAGCTGACGTTCGAAATAGAGATTAAAAATATGATAATAAAAGAAAGTAAGTTAATTAGGAATGAGATAAACGATTGATAATTAAATGTGAACAAAAAGAAATTTAACTTGAAGACCACTGGGACATATCCTGTAGTCATATGTCATAGACACTGTCAACAAACGGACCTAAGGACCAATTGTACGACCCACTGTACGAGTTTGTCAACTTAAGGAGGCATAAGTAGAGCAAAATGCCAAATTCTACACAGATTTTTAAAATAAACTGAGATTGATCTGATCACAATACAAGAAAGACATACAGAAAACGAAGTCCAATTGAGATCAAGAAGGAAAATCAAGAGACTATGATCTACTTCGTGTTACCTACGATAGAGAATACGGTGTAGCAACCTATGTAAGCACAAACAAAAAATTCAGCTTCAATTTGTACTTCTACCAAGAAGAATGTTCCTTCTATCAGAATATCTAATTCGGTAATTAAGAGTTAACCCTAGACTCCAGCACATATCAGAGATAATGTAAGTCGACAAAATCTCACCAGCTCCTGGGGGTCATGTTAGATGCCCCCATTTTCAGTTTTTATTATTTACCGAAGTTAACGGTCTAGTGCATTTACCTTTGTAATTTCCATGAGGATTGTTTTTGTTACTGATGTCCTTCTATTGTTTTTCTGTAGCCAAACAATGTTTTTTAACAACTATTTATTAAACTGATGATGGAATGATTCAATTCCGAAAAGATCTTTAAAATAAAAGTTTTGAGCTTTTAATAAGCATTTTTTTTTATATCTTCCCTTCAAGGTTTTGTTCCAGTTTCACTTTAAGAATAGCTACCTAATATTACCTTTGTAGTGTATTGTCCTCTTTACTTAACTTAACTATGTCCTATATAATGTCCTATAGTGTAATTATAACAAATTGTGTGTAAATAAAGTAATGGTGATGATGAATAAAGTAAAAAGAAAAATGCATTGGATTTTGAAGGTAAGTTGTAGGTTGAAAGGAAATAATAAAAGGAAGAAACAACAATAAATTACCTGTTCGGTTAATTCATCCATACTATAACATTTCGGTTTTAAATGTCTTTCAGAATCTTTAGAAAAGCCTCCTCCAGAATGTACAATAAGATTAATTAATGCCTGTGGAAAAACTCCAGTATCTTTGTAATGTGATATTCTAATATCACCCTGGCGTTTACTTAATTTAGTTCCGTCGGCATTCATTAATAACGGCAAATGTCCGAAAAGTGGTGGATCCCAGTTAAATGCTCTGAAACAAAATGCTGGTTAAATTTAAATGGTACATTGAAATCAAAAGTGGCATTATACAAAATTCGGTGGTTTTTAGTTACAGCGACATCTACAATCTACGAGCAAAACTACGTCTGTTGCAAAGATCTCCGTTGTAATAGCTCGCTCGGTTTTCTAGAAGTCGCTAATGTCACTTCTTACTTTGTTGTCGCGAGCATGGGTCGTGACCGATAAACCGATACTAAACCAGTAAAGGTCCAGCCGCTGCAACGAGTCTTAGCTGAGGTGAGTGAAAAAGTGACATATTTTGTATAATGTCGTTTTTTTAATTACTTGATAGTAAAAATACAACAAATTATGATTTCGTTATTCGCATATTTTGTAAAGTGCCGATATTTTACTCAACTATTCCAGATAACTGTGTTTATATAGAATAAATAAGGGGCATATTGTGCTTAGTGTCATTTTTGTGGTTTAAATGTCATATTTTTAATTTCTTGCCATATTAAATAGACGTCATTTTAAGTAAAGTGTCATTGTTACAGCATCAAATTCTCAGTTAGATGACCAAAGTACTCAAGCTCACGATGACAATAATGCCGCCCATTCAGCATCTGATGGCAATGATAAACCAAATAAGGAGAAGAAAAAGAAGCCGAGATATGCCAGTATTGCGAAGAATTTAAGAAATGCCGCTCAAGAATATGTTTCAACTTCCAAAACAAAAAAGGTTTTTCCGGCAAAAATTCTAAAACAAACTTGTGGAAATAGCTGTCGGCTGAAATGCTCAGATAAAATATTTGGAGTATCAAGGCAAAAACTGTTTGATGCTTACTGGGCTATGGCTTCCTTAGACCGACAAAGAGAATACATAGTTCGTAGTATTCAAAATATTATCCCGAAATATCAATACAAGAAAATGAATTCAAATAAGAACGCAAAAAATGCTTTTTATTTTGAAATAAATAGTACCAAAACCAGAGTATGCAAGACATTCTACAAAAATACACTAGATATAACTGGAAGGTGTATCAGAACTGTACTGGAAAAAAAGATTCTTTTACTGGTATTCTAAAAGGTGAAAAGAGAGGAAGACATGAAAATCACAGAAAGTTGTCTATCGATTTAGTAGAAGGAGTAAAAACACACATAAACAGCATCCCTCGAATCGAGAGCCATTACTTGCGTCAGCAAACCTCGAAGGAATTCATCGATGGTAGAAAAACAATAATAGATCTTTACTCAGACTACAAAAATTGCATAGAGCAAGGACTACCCTATGTTATGGTACATCCGTATCGAAAAATTTTCAACGAAGAATTTAATATTAGTTTGTTCGTACCTAAAAAGGACCAATGTGAACAATGCACAATATATAAGCTGGCTGAAGATCCCAGAAAGGAAGCTTTGAAGAAAGATTATGACCGCCATTTAGCAGAAAAACTTACTTTTGGGATGAATCTCAAGGCAATCGTGGAGCCAATGAAATAGGTAGCTGTGTTTTGAAGTTTTTTGCAAAAGAAGTCTTCTTTCGCTAATAAAGATCTTGATATAGTGTTCTATTCTGATAACTGCTGTGGCCAACAGAAGAACCAGTTTATCATTGGAATGTACGTCTATGCAGTATTAAATGTCAAAGTAAAATCAATAACCCATAAGTTCTTAATCCGAGGCCACACACAAAATGAAGGGGACGCAGTACATTCAACGATTGAGAAGGAAGTAAAAAAAGTCTTAAATCTGGACCCATTTACGTACCTTCCCAATACGTCTGTGCCATCAGAAGTTCGAAAAAACGTGGGACGCCGTACATTGTAAATGAGATGGGATACTAAGATTTTATGGATTTAAAACAACTGCCAGTTATTAAGCTGAATAGGAGTGTTGATAATGCGGTTGTAAAGATGTCTGATATAAAAGTCATTAAAATTGAAAAGAACGTAATGAATGAGACTAAAATATTATATAAAACGTCTTATTTTGATGACTTCAAGGAACTTGATTTGGCAAAAAGAACATCCAGAAACAGCCGACCTCAAGAACTTAAACCATTGTACCACCAAAAATTGGATATATCCGAAAGGAAGAAAAATGACGTGAGAGGTCTTGTGGATGTGGGGTTGATTCCTGGATATTACCGATCCTACTATGACAGTATTTTTAATTGAAAATGTAATAGCTCTTAAGTATTATCACATTTTTACAAATGCCTATTTGCATTTTTTGTTACGATTCGTTTATTTTCTTAGTTTATTTTGATAGTCTTAAAATATTTATTTTAATTAAAACATTGCGTGATATTGTCGTGACTGATTCGAGTAAGACTTTCTTTTTAGTACATACAAATAAATACTTTATTCATTTAAAATTAGTTTTTATTTTATTCCTGACATTCATTTACTCAATTGGAGTAGTAGAATAGTAGAAGAGTTAATGAATTAAATATGCCATTAAACAAAAAATAATTGATTGTATAAAAACAAAAGTGACACTATACTGAATTTTTTTTCAAATACCTTTTTTTTTAACAAACACTAGTTAATTTATTTAAAAGTTATTTTATACTGAAAAAGAGATAATTAAATTATTATTTAAAACTAATCACATTGCTTGTTTTCAATTTATCTTTAAGTCTGGGCATAAAAATCATGTTAAGAAACTTTAAACAGCTATACTGTAAAATTGAGTTTTTTATTTAGTGTCACTTTTGATTTCAATGTGCGATATATTATAGACATACATAAAGACTATTTTGTTGATAACCGTAAAAAAGCCTAATTCTTGATATGATATATATTATACTTTTCATACCGAATGACGCCCATAGATACAAAAATTCTAAGACAAGAAGTAAAATATGCACTAAAACAGACAAAAGTGACGAAAGCGACAGGAATCGAAGAACTTGTCTATGAGAAAATGATGGTAGACATTTTGGTGGATCTGTACGATAATATTTATAGCACAAGCACCATACCAAAAGAATAGTGTGTATCGACATTTATAAAAATTCCTAATAAACATAATGCGAAAGATTGTTCAAACACCGAACAATTGCACTGATGAGCCATGGGTTGAAGGTGTTCTTGAGAATAATCCATAATAGTTTTTATAGAAAGTGATATGAAATAATGATATTAGCGACAACCAACTAGGCTCTAGAAACGACATAAGCACTAGATATAATTTCGGTGGTGGGAGCCGCGCGTGGGGACTCAGAATAAGAAGCCAATGTGTTCGGTGTGGGTCTAATTTGTACCTGATATCATTCGCATTGTCTCTGGTGTAATTGGGTGTCAAAAATGTTTGTATTTTTGCCATTAAGTCATACCGGGGAAGCATATTAAGCTGCCGAGTATAAAAGTCCGAGAGTGGATAATCTGAGTACATAGGTTGATGAACTCCATGTGGTGCCGCATAGCCTTTGGATTATATATTGTTTCGCGTTTTTAGTTTTGCTGCCGTTCTTTGTAGGTGTTCTTTAAAGTTTAAGGTTCTGTGAAGATGCCATGGAACATAATATCTTTCAAGTCAAAATAAAAAAAAATCAAAGAACTATTCATTGAATAGATATTATAATAATGACGTAATCTAATTATTTATTTAATATTTTTTGTTAGTTCTGTTTCTAAGCTTTTTACCTATATAAGAGAAGATGTTTTGTAGTAGATATCTGCCATTCAACGCCTCTCAATACATGTGATATTTCCATAAAATGATCATCAACTACATTGGCAAAATGATAAGTTGGGTAACCATCGGATTTCAAAATAACTGGATCACCTTCATTTAGTGAAATATTATATGCTATCTTACCATAAATCATATCATCAAAACTCTCTTCTTTATCGCTGATCTAAAAAATAATGATATTTTTAACTATTGGAAAGTGGACCTATTATTTAAATGTTTATTACTTTTGTTTAATAGTATTATGAAAAACAAATATTGTTGAGTTCTATTACAAAAACTTATCCACTCTGGCTGTATTGATAAAATATGTATTCAAAACCGTATAATCTCTGGTATAACCATGTTTGGAAATTTATTTATTTCACACATAATTTGATAAAGGAGTGATTAAGTACTGATATAGGTCTTTGAGACAGGGCGCAATACTGCAGGACTAGCTCTAGTCTACCTTTGTGCCTATTCCGAAAAAACCTAACACAAACAATTGTGACCAGTTCTGATGGATCAATATGTTATATATAAGTCAAGTCCTAAAACTATCCTTGAAGATAGAACATACAAGAATTTATAACAGATGTGAAATAGACATTGGCTCTATTCAGTTTAGATTCAGTGAAGGCTTCAGCATACATAAAGCACACTGCAGTTTGACTGTATTGCTTCAAAAATGCAGAGATCAGCTCAAATACGTTTTCCTATGCTTCATTGATTACTAGAAAAGGTTCGACTGTGAGAAATGAGATACAGAGCTAATAAAATTGCTACAAAGTAGAATAATAGAACATATTGACTTGTAACATTCGTTAAGAACCTCTACTTAAATCAACCAGCATTGGTAAAAGGGAAAAAGAAAACTACACAGATCCTCTCAATTGAGAAAGGTGTAAGGCAGGGTTGCATTTTGTCTCTCCTATCATTCAATCTTTACTCTAAAGCAATTTTCGAGGGAGCCTTGAGAGACACTGAGCATGACATAAAGATGAATGGGCTGGTTGTTAATAACTACGCTACTGACACAGTCATAATAGCCGACAGCCAAGAAGCAGTACAATGTGTTATCAAGATACAAAATACAAATCCAAGACAATTTGGTTTAATAATTAAAACAGATAAAAGGAAAGTAATGGAGGTTGGCAGAACATTGAATATAAAGTTGAGTATAAATGTGAATGGTAATAATATTTTTCAAGTCTCCAAGTTCACATATCTCGGAAGCTGAGAGACCTATGTAGATGTTGTTGCCTCTACTTGACAGTCGATCGTGGAATAGAAATACTACAGACTATAACGGATGGAGGAGTTTGATGAGGGAGGCCAGGGATCGAATTGGGCTGTAGAGACATAGAATGGATGAATGGATACCTGAGGATCTGGAGCCAGACACAGAGGTACATAACAGAATTGAACAGGCAAGAGTAATATTTATGGATATGAAAACTCTACTTAGCAATAAGAGTCTTAATTTAACAATATAGCATCATATTGTAGAATGCTACATTTACTCAGTGGTGCTGTATGGGGTGAAGACTTGCACAATAAAGGCTAACGTCATGAATAACCCTGAGGCCTTTGAAATGTGGGTTTTTAGGAAAATCTTTAAAATTCCCTGGATGAATCATATAATGAATGCCAAAATATTGTGCCGAATAGGGAGAGAAATAGTGAAATGAAGGTAAGACACCCACCTGGGTCACATATTAAGAAATTCCACATACCAATTTTTAAAAATTGATTATGGAGGGTAAGAAAAGAGCCACCGAGAGAAAGAAATTCTCGCGGCTAAAGAATATACAGGAATGGACAAAACTGAATGTATACAACCATGCACTTTTCCAAATGACACAAGATCTAAATAAGTATGCCATAATTGTCGCCAATATTCAGTAAATGAAAAAGAGGCCTTAAGAAGAAGATAAATCTTGAGAGGGAGAAAAGTTGACAAAGACCAATCATAATAAACCTAAGAAGTATCTATTGTTATCTAATCGGAGGGTTACAACTTCTATTCCTAGATGACAGCTCTACAAGCTAGTGACTGGCATAAAATAAGTGTGTATTATAGAGCATATGTGAAAGAGAGACTTTCTGATTACACAGAACTGGAACACTTTAGCTAAGGGAATAAACCCTTATATGAATTTTAATTAATCCAATTAAAATCCAATGTCAGAATCAGGGTGTAACACAACAACTCTTGGAATGTCCAAGGAATCTCTAAAAATCCATAAAGTACTGGTAGAATTAGAAACATTAAAAAGCCGACTTAGATATCAAAGAAACCAAAAAAAGGCAACATATAAGTATATAGAAATTGCAAAAGAATGCAGAGCCCAACAAGGAAATTTAGTTGTAGTGCACCAATACTTAAGAGAGTAGATAACATCATGGGAAAACATAAATGAAACCATTATGGGAATGAAATGACGAAAATCATAATTTGTATAAATAGATATAAAATAATGATTCTATAAGTGTATACCAAAAACAAATCAACAAGTGATGCTATTATGACTGTTATACAATTTATCGTACAATAAAGTAAAAAAGTAATATTGAGAAACACCAAAGAATTGATGATTTAAAAAGATTTAAACATTTATAGGTTAGGTAAAAAAAATATTGAAAAAATAACATAGATTTGGATAAGACACTGTACTGAAATAATTGAATGATATGTGTGACAAAAATGAACTTAGAATATTATGAATATATATTTTCTAAACAAAATTATCCACAAACATTTGTAGACTCAGGATACACATCATTTAAAGTCCATCACAAACTATGTCACAGTAAAGCAAAAGACTCACCTGAAAGGAAAAGACATAAAGAGAATGAAGAGGGACATGCTGTGGCAGTGACTTTTGCTAAGTACTGACATACTGTCACTGTGAAAAGACCCAAACAAGATTCACATGAGGACAAAGAAAAAACTTAACAGCTTCAAGAAAGACTTTTTGTGGCACAAATTGTGAGAAATCTGTATAAAAAAATATAACAGAAAAACTAAAAGTAATGACATATTCAGAAAAATGTTATATTGAAGTATTACCAACTTTGAACCTAATGCAATATGGTTTTCCACTATTCAAATGACTCTTCAAGGTTTCTTTTGTTAAATGTCGACACTTGTTATCATACTTGGGGATTTCTTGTTTCCTAAGTGCTTCCTTCCTTAGTAGTTCTAACCTCTTGTCTGTACAAAAGCAATGATAAGCAGATCCATTTTCTAAAAGTACTTGAACTTGATCCCTAAAAAAGACATAGAAGTTAAAATATTGTTAATACTTACGGGATGAAAATATTGACTTTTACAAAAGTTTATAAATTTAAATAAATAGATAAGTAAACATACAGCTACTTGTGATATGAAGAGATACCAAAATTGCCTTGATAATAGAAAAAAAAAATTTAAAGATATTACAAACTTATGCTGTAATATACCAAATAATCAAAAAGAACTAAGTCCACTGACTGTAGAAATACTGGTAATAGATCCATCCAAAAGAAAGGAAGAGATCCGAAAAACTAGACCAGTTATTTAGTAATTACAAAAAAAGCAAAATACATAAACCTGATTGAAAGCATCAATGGATTGATATTCTAATCTGTTTTTCCCACCTTAATACACATACAAAAACTAATCAAAATGAATATATTAATAATATTTAATTAAACAAATAGTAAATAAAACTAATAAAACTAAAAATTAATATTGTATATTGTTAAATTTGGGAATTAATTGATATTTCTAGTTTACTAGAGTTGTCTAGAATATTACCAGAGAAATATTACCCAAGGGAAATAACAATTTATATTGATATTTAGACTCATCCCTAGCAATTACTAAAAATCAACTTAAATTATTGAAAACATTCATATTGGGGTAGATCCTTACCTATATATATCTAGTCTTTTAGACTGGAAATATGGACCGAAATTTCCACCTTGCAAAGGACCCTCATCTATGTCTATTCCAGACCATTTTAAGTCTTCTTGTAATTGCTCAGCTGCTCCTGGAACTAATCTAGTTTGGTCAGTGTCTTCAATTCTTAAAATAAATTTCCCATGGTGCTTTTTAGCAAACAAAAAATTATAAAGAGCTGTTCTCAATCCGCCTAAATGAAGAAAGCCTACAAAAGTAAAAATGTACTTACTATTAATTGAGTTATTTAGTTCACAGATCATATATCATTCATTTATTTGTAAACTGTTAATCTCATGTACCAGATAGTATTAATATGATTAAGTCTAGATAGTCAAGAGATTATCATGCCTAGATCCTGATATCATCCTTACAGCTATATTCATGGCACATTTGAAACTTACATGAAAAATATCTGGACTGAATTGATAAAAATTAAGGCATGTAGATTTGTTTAAGATATCGAAAATGGGCCATTTGGATCTTATATTCAGATAGTATTTTTAATTAATCTATAAAAACAGAATACAATTGATTGAACACAGAATCAGAATAACATAAATAATATGCCAGAGTTCAGTATTGTCTACTATATAGTATATTTTTATATAATAAAATTAATTCTGAACCATAAAAGACAGATGTTCGTAAATTAACAGGAATAGTGCGGCTCTACTAAAAAAGGATCACCTATCTCATAGAACTGAAAAACTACAACTTATGAAAGCAATATTTTGCAAAATTTATTCTTCCAGGTTTTTCTATAATAAAGTGTGTGTCTTATATTTAAATTATGTATTAAGGGAGAAGAATGGAAAATAAATTATAAAAGATCATTGATAGAGGATCTCTCAGCTTCTTAGATATCCAAGATCATTGATAGATGATCTTTCATATAATCAGTTCAGCTTCTCAGGGATAACTCCGAGTTATCCCTGAGAAGCTAAACGGATTATATGAAAACCATCCCCAGCCAGTAAATTTACAAATGTTACTTAGTAGGCAACTATTAAATTGCCTGAAAAATAAAGTTAATACAATGAATATTTAATGAACACCATATCTGAATGAAGGGAGAAAGATATCCCTAAATAAGCTAATCATAGTATCAACAAAATGACATCAAAAAGATTATCAGTAATTTTTTAAATTAGTATTCTAGGATTTAAAGGCTGTCATATTATAAATTAAAATTATTTCTTACCTGTGGGACTAGGAGCAAATCGAACTCTGACAGAACTTTGTGTTTTATACGTTCTCATACATAATTTACAAAGTAGCTGTGTAGAAACTATTCCTTTAAGCGACAATAACATTGTATTTGGTTAACATTACCAAACAAAAACAGCTTAATACCCAAACAAAACAGTTTATTTTTCAAAATATCTAAACCTCTAAACAGAAAATAAAGAATGAGGTTAAGTAATTTATATATACAGGTTGGTATACATCCATCATCGTCTTCTTTTTGTTGTCATTTAAAAGTTATGTCATTGATTATAAACCACCACCAGTGGTTTATATTCAACGGTTGGTGCAAAGAATATAGACGCTTAATTAAGCGTCTATATTCTTTGGTTGGTGGTTTATAATCAACGGTTATGTCTAAATATAAATATCCCCATCTGAAATTTAATTCGAAATTAAGGTCGATTCCGACATATCAGTCCCGTCACAGTCACGGCGCCGAACCGGTGCCGGGAGCCTGATGAATGTGAATGCCGGCGCCATATTATTTCTATATATTTTCTTATATTTTGTATGACGGATTGTTCGGTTCGGCGCCAGGACTGTGACGAGACGTGACTGATGTGTCTGAATCGACCTTTATACTCCATCTAATTTACTCACCGTTGCACGTCACTATCGTTGACAGAGATCGAAGTTAACATAGTTGCCAAAGTATAAAAAATCCTGACTCCATTTTAAATCAAATATACTTCATCTAATTTCACGTCATCCGCGTCATAGTCCGTGAGGTCACATGATACCAACACGAAATGGTAGGTGTATTCTTTTTTAGAATCACTCTGCCGAGCACACTGGCATTACAGCCACTAGACATATTTTATTATATACGTGTAAAAATAATTTTTAAAGATTTCTACTAATATTAACTTAAAGAAATACACAATAATATGTTTCATTTAATTTCTATAAATGCTTTATAAAGCGTTTTTATGAAAAACATTTGTTCGTAACACACTATAACCACAGAATAATAAACAATCAGAATGCCCACTCTCCATGGAAAATTAAGTACGCGCATCTCGTTCGCGCAGACGTTTCGCCATCTTTTAAAGGGAATAATTATGTGACCTATTTGATTTAAAATGGAGTCAGGATTTTTTTATACTTTGGCAACTATGTCAACTTCGATCTCTCTCAATGATAATGACGTGCACGGTAAGTAAATTAGATGAAGTATATGTCACATAATTATTGCAAAAGTATTTTTTATTACCATCTCTTTACAACGACTATTTAAATTATTACGTGACATTTTTGAAATAAAACACACTAATTTTGTTAGAAAAAGAACTGATTTTATTAAATACGTAAAGATATAAAACAAGAGGTATTCACTTTAATTTTCAAAATAATAAAGTACAAAAAGTGTCATCACTTGAAATGTTCTTCATAAAAACGCTTTATAAAGCATTTATAGAAATTAAATGAAACATATTATTGTGTATTTATTTAAGTTAACATTAATAGAAATCTTTAAAAATTATTTCTACACGTATATAATAAAATCTGTCTAGTGGCTCTAATGACAGTATGCTCTGCAAAGTGATTCTAAAAAAGAACACACCTACCGCCTAAATATTTCGTGTTGGTATCATTTGACCTCACCGACTATGACGCGGATGACGTGCAACGTTAATGCCTGGTTGCACCAACATATCTTAAGCTTAAGACGTGCCTTAGGTAGGCCTCAGCTCAGACTGATCGACCGACCACGACCAAACCGTCCGACGGCGATCAACCAAATTTTGTATTTTTATTTTTAAGAATATAAAGAATATTTTAGAATAAAAAATTATGGTGCAACGTAAGTGAGAGTTAAGGCAGCTCTAGCTATAAGCAGAGCTTGGCTAAGCTGGAGCTTAAGATCTATTGGTGCAACCAGGCATAAGTAAATTAGATGAAGTATATTTGTGATAGAGCACAGAATACACTCTGCTTAATACGCGCATCTCGTTCGCGCAGACGGAATCGGCCATGTTTTAAACGGAACCAGTGCTGTTCAGTGCAATTTTATCTGGTGTGAATAGCAAAATTTACCCAGTTTAATTTATTTATGGCAACTTTAGACATAATATGCACCATTCTATTCGTACTTTTAGTTGAAGACTACATTAAATTATTTCAAATGTACTAAATTAATAATATCTAAAAATTTAAATTACAGTTCTGTCACAGAATAATAAACAATCAGAATGCCCACTCTCAGATGCCGCCTTTGAAGTTTTTTAGCAGGCGCGCCATGTTATAGAAGGAAACACATAACACACACATATGATTTGTGAGGTTATGTAATTGTTTAGATTCAATGACATTGTTTATATTTATGTTTAATTATATGTTTATGGTTGCCGTAAGTCAATTAAACCGGGTTAATTTTTCTATGCACACCACATAAATTTTCATTAAATAACACTGGTTCCCTTTAAAACATGGCGGAACGTCAGCGCGAACGAGATGCGCATACTTAATTTTCCATGGAGAGAGGGCATTCTGATTGTTTATTATTCTGTGGTTGTGTTGTAGCTTGTCACAAATTTCTCAATTCGAGTCTGTTTCCATTTAAATTATGGCAATCGCGTGCTGACAAACTTCAAAGGAGGCATCTGAGAGCATTCTGATTGTTATTTATTCTGTGTCACAAGTGTAAAAAAAATTTTAAAGTTGAGATTTAACGTCCGCGCCATCGAGCAATAGCGCCACCTTAAATTTCAATTCTGATCTGACAGCGTTGATGCTTTCAAAACACACACATCTGTGCATCTGGCATCATTGGTGTTGTGGCAGAATTGTTTATGCATTTTGAGGTTATTTTTCATAACTCTGCAAAAATAAAAAAAAATATCTTCAAATGGTTTCTTTTTGTTAATAGTTTGGTATTAAATCCTCTACTTTTCACGATGGTAAGTATATATAAATTATAATTAAAAATAATACTAGTTCTATGTACTTCCTTTGAAAAGCTGTCAAAGTATAGTTAAATAATCTAACCTTATTTTAATTGAAAAATATTAAATATTTTTATTGTTTGGCCTTAGTTTTTGTACATATATGGATTTTTAGTATTAGTACATCGTAGAAACAAATAACTAGTATAATGGTACGTACCATAATTAGTAAACACTTCTGTAGTTGGTGGACATAAACTTTTTAATTTTGAGCTGTACTTTTGTATTACTGATTTGCATCTAATAAATTTATAGTTGGAGTTGCTAAATATTTGATATAGTTAATCAGATATATGCTAGGTCATTAGTTCATGAATATTCACATATGAAAACCATTTGCACTTTGTCAACCTAATATAGATTCTAGAGCCATCCTTTGTTCTTCCCCTTTTTAGGATGTATGTGTATGTATATGTTAACATATTGACATCAGTGTATAAGAAGGAAGCATTTTACATCTTGATAACCTTCCATAGAATATTTGGTATCCATGTTATTGTATACTCTGTATACATTGAGTCTGTGGGCACACTTTATTATTTTTCCTTTTGTTGTGCCTATACATCCTATGCCCTATACATCATATTATTGTTAGTAATTTTAAATTAACAATTGTCTAAAGTTTAATTGTTGCAGTGGAATACACAACCTTTGTTCTAAATAAATTGTAATTTGGATTTGGATGGTGTCAAGAGATTTGTATTTTTCTGAAAATTTCTATTTAAAAATAGTAATTTGTGCAATATAAAAGTACTTAAGAAGTTCAGTCTTATCAGATGTCCAGATATTGTTATATATTTATATGAATGCTTAACTTCAAAATCTCTCTAAATCTCTAAAATAATAAAGACAAATATATGGAATGAATGGAGTATTTTTTTTATATGATTTGTTTTACAATCATTAAAGAGAAAACAATGTCTTACCATACAGTTAATAACATTAAAATATTACTTCCAATAGATTTCAGGCGAAGACAAGTGTGTTGCTCTGTTCCAGTTTTTTTTTCCGTCATTAGTGAAATATTTATATGAACTGCTATAGAAGATAGCTTACAGCATATTATTTTATTATTAAATTCCTGTATTAACTAATGGTTTATAGCTTTTTAATAATTGAATGTCATAAAATTTTTTATCAATAGTGTTAATTTTATTATTTCCATTCTAAAGTAGCTTGATTGATTGTTTATTTACTTAGTTATACACCTCTGTTAGAATCATTTACCCAATACTGGACCTAGACCTCTATCATACATTCTGTATTAAAGGTATCATCTGTCTATATTTTTACAAAGACCAGTGCAGGCACTTAGTGTCAATAGTAAAAGTTACTATCAACATATTAAGAGGCGTTTTGAACAGAGAATTGCAAGAGTTTAAAAAATATGGTTTCAGCCTTACTTCTAATTTATTAGTTGTTGCTCCTTTTGGCAATATTGCCCTGGATTATAAGATGTAGAAGTTTATATCTGTGTGGATGTCTCATCACATGACCAAAATATTGTAACTTTCGAATTTTTATTGTTTTTTTTTATTTCTGTACTCTTTTTCAGTTTTATCAGTTTATCGTGGTGACCTGGTCAAAGGCCTTTTCATGGTTAAAGTTGATAAAACACATATATACTGATTGTTCGTATGCCTTCATCTTTAAACCATAACCTGTAGCTGTAAACTGAATAATCCTTCTCTGGTTCTAAGGTTGTTTCTGAAACCAAACTGTGTGTTCTCTCAGTTGTACTTCTATTCAGTTGTAAACTCTCACATGCAGTATTCTTGGAAACATTTTCAGTACATGGCTCATCAGGCTGATAGTATGATGATCGTTACATTGTTTAGTGTTTATTTTTTTATTATCATTAGGAATGTTGTCAGTACCCAGTCTGTTGGTGTATGTCCTGTTTCTTATTTTTTTATTGAAGATGTTTAGAAGGGAATGTTTGGTTTTATTGTGGAACAGTTTCATTATTTCACTGGGAATTTGGTCTGGACCAGTTGCTTTCCTATTCTTTGATAGTTGTATAGCTGTCTCCATTTCATAGGTTATGTTTGGACCAGTCGATATATTTTCGATTTCATTTTCTGTTTTTTCATCACCAAACAGTTCCTCAATATGTTTTCTTATATAGTTTTACAGTTTGGAATTAAAGTCCAGTTAAAAAGTTGATCCAAGTTTTGTTTTTATACAGGATGAGTCATGAGGAACTGCACATAATACTACTACTAATAATACTACCTCATATTCACATATGGAGGCCCCTATGGGGAATTAAAACCCATTAAAGAGACCTGTAAAATTGTATGCTCCCATTGTTTAATAATACAGAGGGCCAGGTGTGAATTTTGACTGAAATTTCTATTCATCATACAATTATTAATTGTAATGTGATATGTGCCTTTTTTATAACTTTTTCTTTAAATTTTTCAAGAGTAAAAAAAATCAAACTTTACTTTTTCAAATGTTATTGTAGTTTAATTTGCATGTTTATTAAAAAAGTATTAATTCATTTCATGACTTTCAGCACAAATTAAAATCTTCACAGAGAGAAAAAGTTAAAAAATTTATATCTTTCACTCAAACTGGTGAGAACACAGCCATATATTGCCTTACTCAGAATGATTGGAAACTTGATCTAGCTAGTGATAATTACTTCCAGAATCCTGATGCATATTACAAAGAACCGAGGAGTGTAGACAAAAAGAAACTAGAATCTTTATATAACAGATACAAAGATCCCACTGAACCAGATAAAATCACAGTAGATGGTATCATGAAGTTCTTAGATGATCTTGGTCTCCCGCCCGAATCAAAGCTCGTCCTTATCATAGCTTGGAAGTTCAAAGCAGCAACTCAGTGCGAGTTCACCAGGGATGAGTTTATAAATGGAATGACAGAATTAGGTTGTGATAATATAGACAAATTGAAGGCGCGATTGCCCAGTTTAGAAAATGAATTAAGGGATAATTATAAGTTTAAGGACTTTTATCATTTTACCTTCAATTATGCCAAAAATCCCGGACAGAAAGGATTAGATCTTGATATGGCAATTGCGTACTGGAATATCGTACTTAAGGGAAAGTTCAAGTTTTTGAATTTATGGTGTACCTTTTTGCAAGTAAGACTATTCTATTTTTTCTTAATTCTTAATATTTAATATTTTTAATTGTTGTTGTTTAGTAAATACGCATGAACATCACTTATACATAAAGCGTTTGTAATTGCACCAGTTTTGTTAATATTTTATTTAGGAGAGCGATCGAAATGTAGATGTTACAAGTAAATGATAATTTGCACTGCAAACTGATCTTTCTAACACCAAAAGGTTAGGAATAGGATTTTGTATGTTTCAGAAGGTTTTAAATAGTGCTAATAAAGTTAATATTTCAAAATATCAAAAATGTTTATTATGAAAAGTCATTTGGAATTAAAAACTATGTTTTAATATGCAATAAAATCCTTCTTCTTCTTCTAATGGCACTTCAATCCTTTGTGAATGTTGGCCTGCTTAACAATGTTCTTCCATTCTGCCCTGTCAGATACTTTCATTCGCCACTGCCTGATGTTCGTGGTTTTAAGATTCCTCTCTAGGTCGTCTATCTATCTTTTACAGGGTCTTCCTCTTGTTATGTTTCCTTAGGGCTTCCATCTCTGGACTACTTTTACAGCTCGATTATCTGGCATTTTTTCTAGGTGACCAAGCCAGTTTAGTCTTTGTGACTTTACAAATCTAACAATATCTGAGCTCTGCATTAGTTCATCCAGCTCGTGGTTCATTTTAGTTCTCAACGAACCATCGCTGCATCGGGTTAATTTTTTTTTTTTTTGTTAATTTATTTGTATCATAGCATCAGACAATATAAGTTAGATGACGTTACAAATTTCATTACATGTATTAGTTTAGTATCAAAATAGGGACTGATATCTAATACATGTAATTTGTTTTCTCGTTAGTTATATTTTTAATAACGATTTGTTTTAGCTAATTTGGTGTGTGTACCTTTTTTATCTGTAAGTTAATTACTTATTTGTGAATGTTGATCATGATATATTTTTAGGAAAACCATAAACGATCTATTCCTAAGGATACTTGGAATCTTCTATTAGATTTTGCTCAGCAGATCGCTGATGATATGAGCAACTACGACGAAGAAGGTGCATGGCCAGTGTTAATTGACGATTTCGTAGAATGGGCATCAACAAGAACTAAGGAAAATCAGCCACACAGTACAAGTCAACTGGAGTAATAAATACCAACAATTTTATTTCTTATAAGAAAATTCAAATGACGTTAAATTTGTTAATCGATAAAAGGTAGCACTAATCTTGAAAGAAACAGTTGAAAGGGTTTGAGATTCTTTTTTTTTTCTTGTATGACCTAGTGATAGAATGTACTTTGTCAATAAAGTCGAAAAGATTTTTAACTAAGTAAAGTAAAATAAGTTTTTGTGTATTTATTTGATTTTGCCTTGTTTGAAAATTTTGCTTTTTGAATTTTTAAAAACGACCGAAACGACCTTCGTTGACTACTTTTAAAAATTTTCAACATATACGCAGGATTAGTGCGGAAGAACACACCAAACATTAGGAATGTATTTGATAAAAAAATATTTAATTGTCCAAATGTTTATTTTCCGCTTGTCAAGTTTTTGTTTTTGAGAAAATTTGCTAACTTTGCTTCGGTTTTACTATAATACGATTTTAAATATAAACTTTAATATTCATTGTGTGACTAATGGTTCTACAGCCCTAGTTGAACCTCGACCTTCTTCAAGTCGTTGTTTAGCCGTCTGCCAAACTCAGTCCAGGACTGTCCCGTGTGTGTCTATTAATTTCCAATTTGCATCGATATTAGAATTCATCTGGAAGGATAGTTATCATTCGCTACAGACTCACATTTATCTGATACCCTATTTACATTTTTTACCAATATGGTTCAACCGATAATTTTCTGACCAATAAGTCAGTCCGATAGAATTAGTGACTTAAGCCTTTAGCTGTCGTACTTTCGGTGTGTGCTTAATTTGAAATAACACCTTTTCACTATGTGAGATATGGTTAGACGCTCAGAATTTAATTCTCCATGCTAAAGTCTTGACCAATGATTCTATCTGGCACTCTGTTGTCAGAAACCGACATTATTATTTGGTTTGGTCGTTGTTTATTGCGAGGCCCATATTTTAGTTAAGAAAGTGGCTCACACTTCTATTTCTCTCAGTATGAGCAAAGGTCCAGTTCATTAGCGTATGCAATAAGCCATCAAAAACAAACCCAACTAGAGTAGTCTGTGCAATAAAATTGACATTTTTCCAATTTTAGCTACTTCATTTACACCTAACTTGAGGTCTTTTTAAGTATCAAAGCGAACGCTACGCAGCTTGTAGACACAGAGTAATTAATGTATATTTTCTGTCATCTAAATTAGATGACGCTACCTATCGAGAGCAGTCTAGGCAAGTTTGAAATTTGCTGACATGCCGTTATTTGTTTCTATCAGTCTGTCTTCGGTTCTAGGTCTACTTGATGAGTTTTCAACAAAGACGAAACATGTCATTTCCTAGTGTGAACGAAGACAGATTTATATGTTCCGAAAGGTACGCCGGGCGGCGGTTAGTACAATTAAATCTAGATTAAAGGAATTAATATTCTTCTGGGTAGAACCGACCAATGCATTACTGGTACTAGGAATAGAAGACGGTTCTTCTATGCCGTCGATGGTGACGTGGTTTGGTTAGCGTGGGGATTGGTGTGAACATTTCTGACAGTAGGATTTTGATTGGCGAGTGGAGCGGACGATATTTTCTTTATGAGAGATCTCCATGTCGCAGGTAATGGTAATTTCTATGGCTTCTCGGATAGTTCTTGGTTTATAGAAGCGATGGGGGTATGGTTCTGGAGTTTTCAAAATCAATTTTGTGGCCTGTATGAAGATGGTGTTGACCTAGAGCTGAAATTGAGTCGGAATTGCGAACAGAAATGGAATTGTTCATAAATCCTATTTTGAATTCTACGATTTGTTTGGCCTATATAGAATCGGGGACAGTCTGCAAAAGTGTCAGTGACACCTTTGATGTAAGGAAGAAAAGTTTTCGTATGATGAGGGTCTGAGTCTTTGGGTTGAGATTAAGTGAGAGATTGATGTCTGTGGATTCTCCTATTGATGTGATTTTCGCGCTAAGCGTTTTGGATCAGGGCTTGTTTTAAACTAGAGAGCTCAGCGCGTCTAATTGCATAATTGCAAAGGCTTTTTTATCTGGGGACAAGCGTATTAATGACTGAAAGAATTTGTGAAGGCAGATGATGAGATTTGGCACACAAGTAACGATTGGTATGAGTGAGTTTTCGGTAAAAAGGGTAATGAAAACCTTGGTATTGGTTTTTCCTTTATGATAACGTCGAGAAACGGTAGGAATGAATCAGTTTCCACCTCCATTGTGAACTGGATACTAAGATGGGTTTGAAAAGACACCAAAGCATCCCTGCCATGGGGCCAAATGACGAATGTATCGTCAACATATCGTAGCCAACATGTGGGTTTAAGGTTAATGTGGATAGTGCTCGGGTCTCGAAGTCTTCTATAAAGATATTAGCAATCACTGGAGATAGTGGGGAGCCCATAGGGGTACCATTTATTTGTCTGTACCATTGATTTTGGAAGATGAAATAAGTGTTGGACATACAATGTTTAATGAGATAAGTGGTCTTGCTGGATCCTGTGTTTAGTTTTCAGAATATTTAGAGTTTCCTCTATAGGAATGTTTGAAAAGAGTGAAACAATATCGAAACTTACTAGAATGTCTGACGGTGATATAGGGTATGGTTTAAGAAGTTTAAGAAATGAAAAGAATTTTGTGACCAAGGAAGAAGCATTTTCGGCGAGAGGTTGTAGAGCTTTGGCCAAGTACTTGGTCAAAGGTTGTGTAGGGCAGTTCTATGCAGTTACAATGGAACATAGAGAAATATCTGGTTTGCGATTTTTGGGTATGCCATATATTAGAGATGTTCTTGAAGACTAGAGGAATTAGGAATCTCTGTTATTTATTATAGCCATTATTTACTACGAAATACAAACTGAGAAAACTGTCAAAACAATACATATAAACAGTTAACGTTCTAACAATCAAATATTTGACAGCCATGCTCTACCCTTTATTAATATTAAAATAATTGTTGTTATGTTTTAACTTGATAATGAAATATTTCAAAAGTCGTTGAATTTAGATATAGGGAAATTATCCTCGTTATTAATGAAGATATGGTTAATCTATGTGCACTAGGATTTTCCCAAAATTTTCAAAAAATTCGAAATATTTTGAAAATTCTTCATTTTTGTATAGACCCAAATATGAATTGTGTAAAATGATGCTTAGTATTTCTAGAAATTCAAAAATTTGTGAGTTGGTGTTTAAACATTAATACCGCAATAAAACAATTCTTGAAGTGGCGGATGTAATTAATATTCCTAAAAGTACAGTGTGGAATATAATGAAGTATTACAAGGAAATATGAAGTATTTTAGGTAGAAAAGGTAAAAGTCCAAGTCGTCCAAAACTAGTTCCTGATAGTAATAGTACAAGAATAGACAATATTAGTAAAAGTTTGCAATAAGGTCAAACAAATACTCTAAGACAAGTTACAGCTAAATGGAATCATGAAAGAGGATTAATTTTGTTGCAAGTGAAAACATAAATCTGTATCTAAAAGTTTTAGATAAAATACAAAAAGTAATCTTATAAAGTTTTATAAGGTCGAATTTTAGGTAAAAACGGTATGAGTGTTCTCTTAGTTTAATACGTTTTAACATATTTTCTTCTAATCAAAGGAAAAACCACTGTTACCAACAAAGCAAAAGCAAGCCAGACTGATTAGGGCAAAATATCTACGTAGTTATATAGGGATATATTGAGCATCGTTGGCGTTAGGTTCTAATGACAATTAATTTTCCGACTTACTCTAATTAGGGTTTTTTGATGGCTTTACATTCGAAAACTGTTTTGATTTTAGCATAATATTAAATTAATAAAGATTTGACAAAAATACTGAGAGTTGACTTAAATATCTCCCAGTCATCGAATTAATAAAAGGGGTTTTAACTCTCTAATATATTAATAATAAAATGGGAAGGATGCTGTCTTATATTACAATATTATGCTCCATCGGGCATTAGTCTTGATGAAATATTTAAGAGCATGCATGCAAGACAGATCATTATTATACGTAAATGAAGTTTTCCTTTTATTTTAAAACTTTTCTTAGCGTAAAAGTACACGATTTAATAAAGAAAAATTAATACAAATTAAATTCTTTCGAAAATGAAATACAGAAAAGCGTGATTTAATATGATATTCAAATTTTCAAGTATATTATGGTATAAATATCTTTCATCATCATTCCTTTGTTTTAGATTGTGTACATATTTGTCAACTATCGCGTTTTGTAGAGTTGTTTATTCAGTTTAAACATTACCCTTTCTTAATGAATCACTATGTATATAATTTGTACTATACATATATATTATATGTATATGTTAAAATGTACTAAATAATAAGCAGTTGTGTTTAAAAATGTATAAAAACCATCTGATAAAATAAAATTTTTCGATAAGATACAGAACCCGATATGTTTTTATTTTTATAAGAGGAGACATCGTCTAATTAACCTATTCAGTACCAGAGGCTTTTTGGTAGATTGAGTCTCAGGTCCGACGATTAACTAACGCACTTTTTAAGCCAAGCTAATTATAAAAAGATAGATGAAAACATAAGTGAAAGCCAATTTGGTTTCAAAAATGGTATGAGCACCAGATATGATTTATTCGCAATAAAAATATTGATCCAAAAAATTCTCGAGCAGCAGACGAATGTCTTCGCATGTTTTATAGATTATGAGAAGGCCTTCGATAACGTGAAACAGGACAAACTCATAAATCTGATCAAACAATTTGGGTTAACTCGTTAAACTGTTTATTCGGGCTGTTAGGCCGTTGTCTTCTGAGATTAGTTCTCGACGTTTCGCCAACACTAGGGGTTGGCATCTTCTGGAGATGTTACTGCTTCGCTCGTAAGCTGAAACTAAGCAGTTTCAGCTTACGAGCTGAATTATTCAGAAAATGCAGAAAAAAGTCATACCGAACAAAAGAAACAACAACAATACACCATGGTTCAGAAAAGAAATAAAAGAGAAACGAGAGGCCTACATAAGGTACAAAACATCAAATACCCCAGAATCTAGAGACAACTATAGAAGAATACGAAATGAAACGAAGCAGTTGGTAAGAAGAACAAAAAATGAACACTAGGAACAACTTACAAAAAGGATGGAAAGCAACTTCTGCAGTACACAAAAACAGATATGGAGATTTATAAGAAACCAACGGAAAGAAATTGCAGAATTGAAGGAATACAATAACATTCCAGCAAATGAATGGGAAAGATACCTGTCGGAACTGTTTAAAGCAAAGGAAAATAATAATCAACACAATAACTTACCTGAATTAAGACATGAAATAGAAATCAGTTTTCAGGAAGTAGAAATAGCCATTAATGCGCCCAAAAATAGAAAGTCGCGAGGACCAGAGGGAATAACCAACGAAGTTCTAAAATACTAGGGCATATACTGTCGCCACTCTTTCATTTTATATTCTGTATCCATTTTCTAAGAGGACTTAGATAATATAAGAATAAAGATGATGGAAAACCTATTAATAACATCCGACATGCTGACGATACGGTGCTCCTTGACAATGATGAGAAAGAGTTACAGTTCCTAATAAAGTCAAAACTATGGTCTTAAAATAAATCCAAAGGAAATAAAATTCATGGTCATCAGCAAACGTGATATAGACAGTGTCAGAGTGCTGATAGTAAATCAAGACATAGAAAGAGTAAAGAGATTTAAATACTTGGGATACTAGCCAAATGATAAATGGGATTCTGATGATGAAGTCAAAATGTGAATCGAAGTAGCTAGGAGTATGTTCTTCAACATAAAAGCACTACTCTGATGACGTGCCATTAAATACTGCGTACTGGCGATGTTGTATTTAAAATGGACAGTAAAACTATACGTCGATGGTTGCAATAATATTATTTCCCTGAATAAATGACTACATAGATACTCGTACAGGTTAAATATTTTCTTTACTATTAAAAGTCCTAAATTGTAATATTACCCAATTTTGCAGTTTTGCTGGGTTTCAATCTTGTTCATGACCTCTTAAATCTTCTAGTTAAGAGTCTTTAACATCACTACCACGAAAAATTGTTTTCAATTGATTGGTAATAGTTTTATATCCCACAAATCTTTATGCTATTAGTAAAGAATCACACACAATAACAAAAATATTAGCTTTAAGATGTTGTTTGCCACTGAATCTTATTTCATGTTCTGGAATTTCATCACTAAATAGTTTTCGTATTTTCTGCAGTTTTTTATCATTAGTATAAAATATGCAATCTCTTCAGTGATTGTGAAGTGTTTGCCCTTATAAAATTTTTGTAATGCATTCCATTTGTGTGTAGAACTTGAAAAAAATACGTACAAATTTTGAACTATATTGAAAAAGTGAATATTTTCATTTTATATGAAAATTTCGACAGTAACGTTTTCAATTAAATTTAAGAATGATTTGGATAAACGACGGTTAAATAGGTGGCAACAAATAGGTACACATACAAAGGAAATATCCATTCATACAATCAAATTTGTCATTCACACCTATAATTTAATTTCCTGCTTTCCTAATTTAACCTGCTTTCAGCAATTCTTGAAGCAGCCACCTACTTGTATTGCCATGTATTTAGTACGTAGCCACTGTTGGTTATAATTTAAACAAATTAGTGCCTGTAGAGTCACCGAACTGAATCCAACGTCTATCCCATTTAAATTTATCTTTTAAATTCTTTAATCAATATATGTGGGTGCTTAAGTGGATTTTTAGCTATTGAATACGCAATACTATTACCCAATATGTCTGAATATCCCTTAACCCAGACGAATTTACCATCATATGATTAAGCTGATAGTTTTACCAACTGTTGAAAAATTTTTAAAATGAATATATTACTGTTACTGTGACTTAAGTTTTGTAATGCATTTAATTTTGATAATGAATCAGTACACACGACAATTTTGTTCCACTGGTTTTCACAACACCATTCAAGGGCTTTATATACAGCACATGCTTCAGCGGAAAAGATGCTGGATTGACTATTTAAAGTAAATGCTTTTTTAGTCTTTTTGGTACAAAGTAAGCACTGGTTGTAGATGTTACTAATTTTGACCCATCTGTCTAGATTGAACTGTAATTCAGTTTGGTATTTAGGAATCATAATGTTTGTGGATAGAACACTTGTCATGTGTGGTATGTCCAATGATTCCCAAATAGGAATATATGGAGAATTTATTAACTTAAGTTCATTGCAAGTTACAAATGCTTTTACAATTGGTGGGGAATTCTTTTTTAAGAAGAATGTAGTTATTAAATCAGCTGTATGTAGTTGATTATTTTAGCGTTATAGGTGCCACCGTAATGTTGGATTAGGAAGTATTAGCTTGCCTGATATTCTCTGCGCTCTGCGTAATGACAGTGGGTTTTTAGAAGTTAGAACCAGTGTGGCTTAATTTGGAATGCTTTTCATACCCTAACACAATTTTCAAAACTTCAAATTGGATTCTATCAAATTTACTTAAAATAGAGTTAAACTAGATGATCCACATACCAAACAGCTGTAATCTATAATAATATAGGCTCGATAAAAATTCAATGCAATATTTTGATCTGCACACCACGATCTCTTACAGCTACTACTTATATAGTCAATATGTTGAGTCCAAAGTAGTGTTCTGTCAAAAGTATTACACCAAGGTATTTGAATTCCGAAACAATTGGTATGGCATTGCTCTGTAAGGATTAAGTGTCATCTTTAAGAGAGTGTTTAAGAAAATTCTACAGCACACTTTTGGTACAAAATAGTGAAGCCATTTGGTTTTTAATATTTGCAAAAGGTTTCACTTCATCCTGTTTTTTATGCATTTCTTTATGTTTATTTATAGAATTTGATATTTTTTTCTACAATGATTGATCAATATGTCATTATTTTTAATATTCTGCTTACCATAATTTCTTTGAAGTCAGAGTTGTTTATAATTGGATTTACTATTGTTTTTCTTTTTTGTTTGCTTAGCTGTAAATGTGTAATAATAAATAAATTAGGAAATTATTACAAACTATACCTTTAATTACAAATTAAAATGTTATTACAATGCAGCTACTGCAGCTTTTAATATGGCAAACTTGTTATTACTGTGTCCGCAAACTCCTTTGAAGTCATCAAGTGTTAGATCGTCAATAGCAACACCTCCAAGTCCTTTAGCTTTGGCATACTGTGCTTTGGTAGAGGCTGTTTCTGTGTCTTCATATCCTACCCAGATTCCTCCTTTGTCGTCCTTGTCAGGATAGCGGTATGCGTAAACTCCTAAAAATTTGTAGTTATTAATGTTTAAAATTTAACCGTAAATTTTGATAATTAACCGTAGTGTGATCATAGACATATAGTACAAGATAGGCTGATCGTTGCAATACCAGCCCGTTCCCCCAGTGCGACAGAGAAAACTGACGCAAAGCATCCCTGCATCTTTTTATAATTTGCCAGGTTTATCGACTATGTGACCTAAATGACCAATGTGAAGGTCACGTGGTCGATAACCCAGCCCATTGAATGTAATCAACTGTAGTGGCAAAAATTTCTAGGAACAGTAAAGCCTCACCAAACAAAGCAGTGGCGTTCCAAAAAATACTTATGATTTAAATCAAATTATAGAACTTACCACCAAGAATAGAACCACTTACGCAGAATAGCTCAGACAAGAACAGGTTTCTAACAAATAAACGGGGTACTATGGGATACACAGATTAGCAGAAAAAAAAGAGGAGAATATGTGACACCTTGATAGTGTAATGACTTTCGTAGCAGAGAATTGGGTAATAAACAAACCAAACAGGTCCAAAGTTACAGCAACTGAAATGAAGTTCATAAGAAAAAGCTGTACAGTAACAAGACCGGGTAGTTTTAGAAATAAGGACTTTAAGGACATTAAACCCATGTATCTAACAAAAATTACCTCTTCGCTTAGTTCCGTCGGGAATCTTGGTTAAACCTCCTGGAGTGCTTGTTCGTGGAGTAACTTTGTTACAGATTTCTGGATAACTGAGAAGACCTGCTTCCTTAGTAAGAGGTCCTGCATCACCTGGTCCATTCAAATCGGTTATTGGGAATTGGTCTACTTTTGCCTCGCCTTTCAAATGCCAAGTTCTACCATATGTGGGAATGCCAAGGAGAAGTTTTTTTGCTGGTGTTCCGTTTGATAACCTGGAATGAATAAAAATAAGACATACAGCGTAATAAGGAATTTAAAAGGTATGCCAGGATAATATACAATAATATTTTTTTTCCAGTTTCCTGATAAATATATTGAAAATAGCCGTATTACCTCGGCCAGTACTTTAGTATTTCAAATAGATTACGATTGAGTGCAAAAAGAATATTATTTCAGTGTGGTGTTTAATTTTTGACCAAAAAATTACAATAAAACTTAAGGATAAACTAAGCTTGATATCCCAAAGTTTAGAAAAAAAAGTTATTCTTCATAAAAAGCTCTGCACAGTTCAAGACCTAATATCTAAATATCAGATATCAAAGTTTATCAATATTATACGAGGTTACTAAACAATATGAATTTCGCTCAAGAATTAAGTACCTTTATATTTCACAATATCGAAAATTATTATCAAGAAAAGTTGTTTGGAATTAAAAACTATGTTCTTATATGCAATTACATACTTCTAATTGCAAAAAAAATTCTTAAATTACTGATACCAGACGTCATTTTTATTTATTACAAATATGATAGCTCTTTTGTTATTAAAAAAGTTATTCTTCATAAAAAGCATGATATGCATGGTCTAAAACAACTTTTTATAATAACAATTTTCAATATAACCTACCTCGTATAAAATTGAAAACATTTGATATATGACGGTTGCATCTTACGTTTTGGACCATGCAGAGCATTTTATGAAGAACAACTTTTTTTCGTAAAATTAATAATAAAAAAGTTTCCCATATGGTTTTAAATTACGCAGATTACAGAAATTAACATTAAACTCAAGTCTTCCCCGTTAAACCGCGCCGATTATTATTGCGCCGAGCTTTCGATGTCTTCTTCAGGGCTTCCGAGGTCTCAGTCTTCCGAGCCCATAGACACTACTACACTGATCGTACACGATGCGTAACTGGTGCTGGGAATAGAGGACGGTTTATTTATACCGTCGATGGTGACGTGGTTTGGATGAAGGTTGGTGTTGGGGTTGGCGCGAACATTTGTGGCAGTAGGATTTTGATTGACGGGTAGACCAGACGATATTTTCTTTATGAGAGGTCTCCAAGTCGAAGGTAACCGTATTATTTCTTTTATTGAGACAATTTGTCCTTTATTTAATTTCTGACTTCCTGGATAATTCTTGGTTTATAGAAGCGGATAATGGCTATGATTCTGGAGTTTTTAAAATCAATTTTATGATCTGTATAAAAATGGGATTGACCTAGAGCCGAAATTGAGTCAGAATTGCGAACAGAAATATAATGTTCATAAATCCTATTTTGGATTCTATGATTTTTTTGGCCTATACAGGATCGGGAGCAGTCTGCACAAGGAATTTCATAAACTCCAATTTGTTCATTTGAAATGTTGTCTTTGATTGATCGGAAAGAGAGATGAAAGTTTCTGTTGGGGGGTAAATATTGTCTTTATCCCTCTTGATTTAAGAATTTTGACAGTGACACTTTTGATGAAAGGGAGGAAAGTTTTCGTATGATTTGATAAGAAGGTCTGAGTCTTCGGGTTGAGTGGGATTGAGTGGGTTGAGAAAATTGAGTTGGGAGTATATATTATACACACACATTATATATAGTTACACTTCTCCAAGAAATTAACTCATCACTTCAATTAATCAATTTTATTTGTAAACAGGCAAAGAATAAAAAATAAAACTTCACCAGATTTATTCTACATTTTATTAGTAATTATAACAATTTGTCTAATCATCTGAAAATGTTGAAGTACAGGAGAAAAAAAAAATTAAAACGGAAAATTCTAAAAAAATTATGATACGAAAAGTAAACTAAAATAAGAAAAAAGTCTTAATAACGAGTGTTTCCACCTCTACTATGTATAACAGCCTCACATCGTTGACCCATACTTAAAATTAATTGCCGTATTTCATTTTGGTATAGTTCTCTCCAAATCTGCATCAGCCTCTCTCCCACTTCCTGTAAGTTGTTTGGTTGTAGCGGTGTCACTCTTAATCGCCTACCAAGGATATCCCAGATATTTTCAATCGGATTTAAATTCAGACTATGTGCTGGCCGTTCCATAGTATAAATTTCTACCTCTTCTAGATAATTTCTGACGCTCTGTGCAGCGTGAGGTCTGGCATTATTTGCATTAGTAAGAAATGTTCACCAATATAAGGAGCGAATGGTACTACCTGTTGCTCCAGGATCTCCAATATGTACCTTTCCGCTGTAACAGTTCCATTTTGTATGACCACTAGGTCCGTACGTGCGGTCAAAAAAATACCACCCCACACCATAACGGATCCTCCACCAAAAAATGTGGTGTGTGAGAAGTTAGACTGAGCATATCGTTCGTTGGGTCGTCGCAACACACGAACACGTCTGTTGTTATTGTACAAACAAAATCGGGATTCGTCAGTAAATAGCACTCGTTCCCAGTCAGCCTCTAACCAATTAACGTGTTCTCTGGCAAAATGTAGTCTCCCCTTCGATGCTCTGCAGTTAATAGAGGGCGTCGGGCGGGAATCCTAGGTATTAAGTTGTATTCCCTAAGTCGTTGGCGAATAGTTTCAATACTAATTTGTATAGCATGCACGCCTCGAAGCTGAATTTGTAGATTTCGATGTGTTACAAAATGTTGTCGAAGAGCAGAAATTCTTAAAAATCGATCTTGAATAGGGGTAATTACCCGGTTTCGTCCTTGTCCTGGTCTGCGAGTATGATCCCCTGTTTCGAGGAATCTTTCCAACACCCGTGAGATGGATGTGTGGGACACATTAAACCTACGAATTCTTCGGTAACTCCAACCTTCTTCCGACAGTATCACTGCTTGGGCACATTCATCTCGGGTTAAATTACGTGATTGACGCTCCATAATAAACACAATTAACAATAATCAACAATTAAACAGTAGCCGAATAAAATTCGTGAACACTTGGAAATTAGTATATTTTTATAGAATTAGTACATTTTTTGCTTCCTTTTTTTTCCAAAAATAATTATAGCGGTAAAACACAGTCAATAAATATAGAGTGTACGAATAGCATATACAAGGGGCTTTCATATATTTATATATATATATATATATATTATATATATATATATATATATATATATATATATATACATAGGTAGGGGGTAGAAACCTGCCAAGAAAATTTAGAAAATCAAGACAAAAATATGAATGAATCTTTAGAAATCCTGGGCAATAATAACCTGATTAAAAATAATGAAGAAGGCAAAGTTGACAGCAATTTCAATGATCACTAAACCCAAAGAAGTAAGAGAATATTGAATGGGAGAGAAGAATCACATAAAATGATGAGAGTTCTGACATCAAAGATGATATAGATGATATGTGAGTCGAATAAAAGATTTGCTTCTTTAAAAAAAGGGATTATTGTTTTGATTCGAGTGCCGGATATTGATAGAGGTCGATTAACTCCAAGAAATGTATTAGCAATTGTATCTGAAATTAATAATGATGGCTTGTACAAACTCAGTACTGAGAATGGACCACTTTATAGATTATTTTAAAGAAATGAACTCCTTCAAACCGATTTGCAAATCCTATTTGAATCAATTGATATTAGTAGTAAGAAAATACCCTTGAGAAACTGCAGCAAATATGTCATCCAAAGGTTGTGGTCAAGGTTTTCTAAGATGCAACTGTAAAAGGTTTTGTTTCGACAATAAATTTTCCTGTACTTAAATAAAGGAACAAACCTATAATTCAAAGTGTCGTCAAACGCTGATATGCAAAAATAAATGAAATTTGATTTTAAAAATTTTTGTTTTTAAAATTTATTTTTATCTGCATTTTTTAAATAAAATTGGAAGTTTTGCTTTGCATCGACGTCGTGTGTGTCCGACAGTCTTCGTAGTTTCGCATTGTTGGTCTTCGCATTATATCCACAATGTGTTCTGTACACGTTAAAAATACCCGAAACGCGGTGTGAGAAATAAGCGAAATTCACAACCCGTTGTGAGTATAAATCTCGGTCAATAGCCGAATTCGGTTATTGAGTACAACATAAATTGTAAATAAATATAAAATGTAAATTAAACTATTAGTACGTACCAGTATTTTACCCAAGCATCAATATTTTCATCACCTCTACGGTCGATTAATTCGTACAAGGGTGCAGGGAAATCAGCCAGTTCTTCGTTACGTAAAGGTGTATAAAAGTCAAATGCATGAAGAACAATGAAGTCCAAATAAGGGGCCAAATTTCTGGGATCATAGTAAACTGCAAAAATATTTAAAATTATTATTTTTACACAATTATTTTTAAATAGCAATTTTCATCTCATATGTTATAAATTCTTGCTAATATTATATGTTTTTTATAATCCTACGATATTAAAAACATATCTAATAAACCGTAATGAAAACTTAGAAAGTGGGTTTACACAGTCACATGATAAAGAACGCATTCAGCAGAAGGCTAACAACCGGCTCATGTAAAAAGAAAATCTCCTGTTACCGACAAGAATGTAGAGCGTAGAATAATTTTAAACTGTTTGTCCTTGTTTTAGTGTAGTGTTATGTACAATTTATGTTCAATTTTATGTTACATTACATTCTGCGCTTGCTGGATAGCCCAAATTTGACGAAATGCCCCTGATGATGCTGTAGAAAGCGAAAGTACTTGGGCAAGATGTGATTATTAAAAATTGTGCTCGATATTTGCCTCCAATTTTTCAAAGTTCATTTATTCGAGCATTTAACCTCATATCAATCAAAAAGAAAATTGTTCAACGCTTGTCTTGTGACGCATGTTCAACAAAAGAATACCAGGCACACATTACGCAGACGACTTATGCAAAATGACTAGGAAATAGCTATGGTTATAAAGATAGGAACATGGAACGTGAAAGAAATGTTGAAGAAACATTGAACTGCATACTAATAGTATCGATGGAACCGAAGAATAGGTCAAACAACGTAAAGCAGAATGGTTCTATGTAGAGTGCAGATTGACTAAGAGACAGAAAGACGAAATAAGAATAAAACACAAGAAATCACACGTAATGTTACAACAATATAATATAATAAGAGTGGTAACACAAATGTGAAGAATAAAGAAGCGAGAAATATATGATCTATATGCAAAAAGTTGGAGGCGTTCAAACAAACAATACAAGGAAATTATATAGATGTGCTGGACAAAAAGAGTCTAAACCAAGCCAACGATGTGGAAATTGGGAGAAAAAATAACCTTAAAAGAAAATATGATATGCTCAATTATAGACATATAATAGAAATAGACTCGAGCGCTGCACTACACACCCATTTCCCCAATGCAACAGTAAAAACTGACGTAAAGCAGTCACGTTGTCGATAAATCCAGCAAATTAGAAAAATATGAAGGGGTTGCTTTGTGTCAGTTTTCTCTGTTTCATTGGGGGTACCGGGCTGTATATCAGCGCTCAATCTGTTTGTATTGTATTGTCTATATACTCAAAATATCAAGAGAATCTCAAAGATTACTTATCATGGCATTACGAGTATTAAAAGCTAGCATTATTGCCAAATGATTTCAAAACTACATGTTAAATATAGTTAGAAAAGATGGTTCTCAACAAAAAGTAGTTACTGCATGATTAAAGCACATAGTTAAAAAATTCAGACAAACTATCACAAGCTGATGAAGAAATAAAACTAATGTCAATTCGTATCTTACCTGTGCTGTTGATGTTGGGTAAAACTGTCAAAGACAGTTGCATGTTATCTGCTTTAAGAGCATTTTTAAGTTCTTTAACTAATGCTACGAATTGTTCTCTATGTTGCTGGGAATTTTCGTCAACAACATGTTCACCAGCAATGGTTGTTTTGATGGAACTCCACAGTTTTTCTAAAAAGAAAAATATGTCAATTAATTAAAATTTCTTATTCGAAACAACAATGATATTGACTTACTAATTCCTGACTTTATCTTCTTGGGTTTAGTTTCGGGAAATTCCCAAGCCAAATCAAGTCCATCAAAACCATACGCTTTTAATAAAGTGTATGCAGAGTTGACAAAGCTTAATCGGTGTGCGGTAGATTCCAACTAAAAAAAATTGATGAAAATATGTAAAGATACTTTTATAAGGTACTGTGACCGGAAAAAAATATTTCGTATAAATAGGTACTAGCTTTTCAGGATGGTTCTGTTTCAATTTAATGTTATTTGCTATCAGTGAATGAGTGAAAGCATATGAAGGGAACAGGAATAAAAGGGGCTCATCGACATTTTGTTCGTTTTGAGTAAATCAATATTTAAGGAATAATTTACATATGGCCGCTTTAAAACGCAAATAATAAACAACTATAAAATAATATTCCCTTATTACTGAATGCCTGTATAATATAAATTTACTTTTTACATGTCAGACATCTGCAAATGAACAAGGGACTCATTCTTGCAATGTGCCCCTTTTTGTGCTTTATCTAAACGCACAGTCTCCTTAACGAATAAACAAAAGTTGTGTTTATCTGTGGGGAAATTAATGCAAATAAGGTTTCTACCGTTTATTGACATAGCAAGAGATGTTTAATTTTACAATGTTACATTAGTTTAAAAAAACTACTTATCATATTTAATGTTAGTGTAGTATTCGGCCGCATTCGGTGAACAGAACTTCTTTAAATCTTGCAGGTCCTCATAATTTTCTGCAGAAATTGGCAAGACATCTTCCTAGGCAGATCCTGGTAGTATGAATTCAGTACCAATTATATTTTTCATGCGTCTTTTATTTCTTCTAGCGATAGAGGCCTGTTCCCACACTCCATTGTATGTTGAACGGAGGTAGATGTTAGTGCTTGAATTAGTAATTTTTAGTTCCTTTATCGGTCGTGATGAAAATGTTGATTTTTGGCATATATCGTAATTAGATAGGATGTTCAACTTCGAAAAAATGAATGGTCAACATTAATTACCTCAAATAGCGTCGGTGTTTGACGAGCATTCTTAACTACCTCAACCCAATTATTAGGACCTGTGTCCTAGTTGCAGATTTGATAGTCACATATTTTTATCGCACTCTAAGCTTGAGTGCCCTGTTACTGGAAATGTCATTATTACAGATTCCAACTTTTTTTCTACATGAACTAAATGATGAAGGAACCGAAACATTGTAAAATTTTTGTTTTGGCCACTGCAAGAGTTAATTCGAGACTGTCGTTTTCTGTCATAGAAAGTGCCTGCTTTTAGTTTATGTACTTTGTCTTCTACATGTAATTTCTGAATCTCGCGATCAAGGGATGCTGAGCGATTTGGATGATTTGTACCTTTTTTTTCAACGTCTAATGCTTTAACTTTAATTTGATATTCATCATATACACTAAAAGTATCTGAGCGAGGATAACCAAAACTTATATTAAAATCTGTGCAGAATATACTCCGGTATGTTTTATAAGATACTGTCACGTCTTTGTTGTCCTCTAGAAACATCATGTACATTTTTTTACGTTTAATTCTTCTGGTAGATACAGCTTGGTTGAGTCGTGAAGACTATAATGGCTGGTCCGTCCCTTGAATGAGTTGATTTGTCTGCGTACTTCACTTTTAATTTCGTCGTCAAGTCTATGGTGGTTTCCATGCTTTTCTTTTTTATCACTTGAGGTGATCCCTGTTTTCTTCAGACTACTGACTAAATATTCAATTTTCTTCTTAGTTATACCATGAATCGACATAAAAGCTTTCTTACATACGGTAACCTCTGTTTATTTTGTTGTATCTGTAATGTTTTTTTCGACGACAGTGTCGGCACAGACGGCACAACATAAGGAACCACAGCATAGACACATTGTGTCTATGCTGTGGTTGTCGGCACGACAGCGACAGTACACGTTTAAGGTACAAAAGCTTGTCTTCTGTGGGATCTGTTGAACTTTAGTTTGTTTTATTTACATATAGGATAAGGTTTGGTGAGTATTTTGAAATACATTCCTGATGCTAAAAATGTATCAAAGTAGTCAGTTCTGGTTATTGTTTTCTTTTAGGTGTAGATCGAGATGTCCTCGAGAACAAATACATTTTTTTACTTACTTAGAGATAATAGTACATTATAGAGTAAGTCCGTTTTTAAAAATCAGCCTAGTAATTCTCAAATACCTAAATCTTTGCCACTATTAAATGAAGTTGTGTAATCAATCAGACAGTTCAAAGTTGATTAAGGAATTAACTGATCCAACATCATTACTTTTCATCTGTTCACAATAATCAGATCGCTATGCATTTTCCGAGGAGTAGTATAGATCTTCCTATAGCAATGATGAATATGAAGAGCTGTTATACAACAGTGATTCAGATGAGGAGTCCATAGTAGGAAATGAAACTGTCGATAGTCATGAGGCGGTTAATTGCAGTGAGGTCAGTAATAATTTTGACTATTCTAGGGAAAGTATGCTAAAATGTAATTACCACACAATTATCCAAGATCTGTGGTTCAGAAATACAGTAGGTATTTTTGGTTCAGTAGTAATACATCGTATTGAGCTGAAACAGTTCTTAGTGATACTACTTATAATGGGCGCATGCTCTTTACCCAATATGTCTTTGTACTGGTCTAACAATGTTATATATGGAAATAAACTTATTTAAAGTAGTATGAAACGTGACAAGTGTGATTGCATTTTGGAATTTTTGCACTTCGCAAATAATATCGAAAATTAAGCAGAAAGCCAAGACCGATCATTCAAAGTAAAGTCAGTTGTATTGGCAAGAGTATTGGCAATTTAACCTACCTGGAGAGGTAGGTTAAATTTTCGTCAATACTTACAAACTTAAAATTGTACAAACTTTGCACTGTCAAAGTCTAAACATATAACCTAGAAATATACGCAGGCAAAAATGGTTCAAATAAACCTGAAAATGAATACGGATATTCATACAATATTTACATGGAATTACTTCAATATGAAGAAAGGACTATATATGTTGATAATTATTATAAGTACTAGTGCAGATTTATGTAAAAAGCTTCTTCAGTCTAAAACTTATGTTTGCGGAGCCCTCAAATCAAATGGAAAAAATCCCAAACATGTGTGTCAGAAAAAATTGATAATAGGGCGTAATATATATGGCAAATAAAACGGCATATGCATAGTAAATGCGTGAGTTCTTTTAAATAATTATGGTATTAGTATAGTAATCTTAACACATTAAATATGTTATGTATTCGAGAAAAAATCATTGAAGGATTATTACAGTTAGGACGCAGAACCTCGCGGTCCTCGTGAACGAGATATTGGTCCCGGGCCCAGAAAAAACCAAAATTTGCTTAAGTAAGACATAAGTTAGAGAAATATAAAGAAAGTGCTAGACAAACAACAAGCTTTCCGTGTTATAAGAAAATTTAAAATGCAAAAAGACCAAAGGCAGTCCGAACAAAAACACAAAGAGTGTACAAACTGCGATACATGTGAGGATAAACCAACGATGTGCAATCCTTGCCAATAGTTTTGTATTATATTCAAATTATTTCACAACTTTTGTAGAGTATTTATGTTACGCAATCATGTTTTAATTTTAATAAACCATTCATTTTTCCTGCAATTTATTGGCTATATAAATTATAATATATCCAGACAATGACGAACTCATAAATTTGAAACAATACTTTAAGTGTACTTAATATCAACAATATATCTAATACGTTTAAGATTTTAGACTGTTGAGAAATAGAAAGGCATCGTGTACAACCGGTGGATACACGCGACTTAACGGAAAATCAAGCATGTATGACCCCGTGGTACACGTCGTCACAAACGTGTTAAAAACATTGATTATATAAACACGATATACTTACAATTTTTCTATATTTTTCATTTTTCTCATCACCTGAGCCACTGATATCCTCGTTTCCTCCCACAGAAAGTAACACCTTAAGTTTGGGGTGGGTCTTTTTCAAATCGGTTATGTGTTTATAATTTTCTTTAATCACATCAAATTGTTCATTCATTGGAACTAACTTGTATGTGTTGTCGTCAATTGCTGCGTAGCCATATAATAAATGGGTGCAATAGCGTAAAGCCTCATTTAAATTAGAAACATCAAATTTTCCTTCTCCTATAAACAAAAGTAACTATATAAGATACCATCGAACTTGTTGAAATGTGTTTGCTATGTTCTTCTATAAATGTCATCGTAGTGCCTGGCACTTCAAACAACAAGAAATCTCAATACAAATCCAAAAGATTTGGGTAGATTTATAAAACATACAAATATTTTTAAAACTACTTAGGGAATGATAAAGAGAATAATTTGAGTGTGAAGCATGGCGGTATACTGGAAGAAGTTATATATCTGCCTCATATCCTACTCTAATAGTCCAGACTGTGTCATCGAGTGCCATAGTCTAAGGACTAGTACGCACTCCGGTCCGCATCGCTCCGCCTTTCTACCGAAATTTATGATTGGCCGTTGGACTTGGAAATGCACATATCAATATGAAATAAAGTGTATAAAAAGGGTGCATTTTCTAAGCCAGAGTTAGACAAGCCTAGCTTTACTACTGTCCTCACGTAGTGTGTTCTATGCCTGGGGGCCTCCTTCACGTTAGGACCTAACTAGAAAAACACGAGCCTACGACCCAGGTTTCCACTGGGTTCAGCTAAAAACTCCACACTAGCAGCTAATGGTATGATCGACCGATTCTGCGGTTGCTGACACTGTCCAGTGTCGGAGGTTTCAGCGACCGAGAACTCACCGAAGCCACCAGTCCCAGAAGTTACTGAGGCCCCGGAGTAGCCGTGGAATCACTCCCTGATCTACCGCAGGTGGTGCTTAGTAACCACGTAGGTGCAGGCAAAACTCTACTGAGAAATCGGCTGGCAAATAGTTATGGGTTACTGTTGGCCTAGAGGAGGACGAAGTCGTTGAAGTCAAAGTTGCTGTGATGGAAGACGGTACCTGCAGAATAAGAAGATGACCACCGGAAGCTACTATGTAGTGAATTAGGTACGGACTTTATTTTCGATATTTTTTTATATAAACTTTTTACGAATCTTTTCAATTTCTTTTATATTTTTAACTTTTGCATAAACTTTTGTTTACGGTTACATTTTTTGTATTGTACCTTTATTGTATTTTCTCATATAAAAAATGTGTTGTTTTAAATAAAAATTTTTTCAGCAAAAGAATCTTCAAAGGAGGGGAGGCTCCTTCACGGGGCTCTGCTGTGCTTTTGCATAAACTTTTGTTTAGGATTACATTTTTGTATTGTACCTTTATTGTATTTTCTCATATAAAAATGTGTTGTTTTAAATAAAAATTTTTCCAGCAAAAGAATCTTTAAAGGAGGGGGGGCCTCCTTCACAGGGCTCTGCTCCCTGCTTGCCTAAGGCTCTTTTGCTAGGACCTTTTTCGTCTTCAAAACCGAGTTTTATTTTACCATCCTGCCTAATTAAGGTGGAAACGCAGAGGCAACTTCGAATTGACTAATCGAAGCTCTCTGTAGAGCACATAGGAAGCTGATATTGATTTATTTTCTGTGAAGACCCTACTATGGTGACAGTTGTGGGTAAAAAAGTCAATTTCGTGCACTACGAAAGCGTCACTCAATTCACGATTTGGCGATGGCATTTCTAATTTGATTAACAAGCTCCCTCATATGACATAATGTCTTCTATTAAAATAAAATTCTGGTTATGTATCTCCCCATTCACCTCTTGATTGTACTTAACTCCTTGAACTGACCTACATTCGATATAAAATGATCGCAAACTATGAGCGTATTTGACTTGGAATTGCTTCAACGATTATCATGTACGAATTATTACCGTTTTCAAACAAATCGAGCTGTTGACATGATGTACTAAAACTAATTTGGCTTCGAAATAATTATTTGAAGTCCTAGAAACGTCTAATAGGTGTGAAAATATGATAAAATTATAAGAATAGTAGAAACAACGGTTTTATTTTCCCATAACAACAGTTACAAAATGTAATACAAAATCCCTTATACAAAATATTTTATAAGACTCTATCTCTACCACAGGGGTAGTTTATTTAAACATAAAGTGACGTTTAACAAAGTAACTTTACGCCTATTTACTTTTTTCATTTCTCATAAACTCGAGAAGTACTACTCTATAGTAAAATCAGTTTTGTTTTCCCATACAAACAGTTATAATATACTGAACTATACTATATACCATCAAAATATCAACTTTGATTAGTTGTATATAAAATGTTTTAGAAAAATGTGGTTCTACCCGAGAGTAAAATATTTTTATTTTTGACAGAATTATGTATGATTTATGTCTTTTTGACAGAATTTAAAATAATTTTAAAATGTTCAACATTGTTTATTTACAATAAAAAAACTATTTTTCATCATTTTCTCTGCAATAAAGTTAAAAATAAAAGACATTCATTCTGTAGTTCACTGTCTCTCAACCCATTGATGGTGCCTCTAGATAAGCCAACAGCGCTATACGAGCAACATCTGCTTCAAATACTTGCAAACTCTCACTTGCTTATTGAATTCTACTTCTTAGTTGTGCTTTGGAGACTTGTAGAGGGGTATTTCCGTAACGTTTGTCCAGTCGAGTTAACAAGGTCTGGTAACACTTTTTTTGGCCCTTAGGAATCGATCTTAGGATATCCGCAGCATCACCTCGTAAAGCAACAGTCAACGAAACAGCTTTTTCTTGTTCTGTCCAATGATTGGCTGTCGCAATAGCTTTAAATTGTCTAAGGTATATCAACCAAGAAGACTTTTCATCAAATGGTGGCAATTTGAATCTCATATGATGTGTCGTTTCGTCTCTAGGTGATTCTTCTTTCACTACCGTTATAAAACTATTGCATTAACTGGTGGTAGTACTTTTGTATTGGTTATCATGCTCTCTAATTGGTTGATCTGCTCTTCTGATTAAACTTCTTCAAATTTCTCATTATTCTTTCTATAAGTTTCTTCCATCATTCGAGAAACATTTTCAAATTTTTCGTCGAATCTTCTAGAAACATTTTCGAGTTTCCCGTCGTTTTGTCTAGCTATTTTTTTAATAATTTGAGACGTTTCATCGAATCATTCATCAATCCTTCTAGAAGTTTCTTCAATCATTTCTAAGACGTTTTTAAATTTATTATCATTTTTTCTAGAACTCTCTTCGATCATTTGCGACACATTTTTTATTTTCATTAAAACTGCTCCTTCTGCTGACTGGAACTGGAATAACTCTGGGTCAACTCTATTCTTGTTAAGAACATCCTTCAGTCGTTCTTGAAGGATTTTCTTGGACCCGCTGCCGTCTTCATCGCGTTCTTCTAGTTGCTCACGCAACTGTTATACTGAACGTTCTACTAGCAACACCTTTGGTCAGGCACATACGTTCTTTTTTAAATGTTCTTTCGTTCAAATAAATATCACTAGCGAACTACGCAGATGTTCCCGACGAAGAATACTTTTCAAAAGTTCCAAAGTCTTTTTTTTTAGCAATCACTGCTAAATTTATATATTTATGCAAATAAAGAAGTAATGGAGAGGATTGGTAATGAAACAGAACTAATCACCACTATACAAACCAGAAAACTGGAATACCTAGGCCACGTGATGAGGGGACCAAAATATGAAATTTTGAGACTCATAATACAGGGAAAGATTCAAGGAAGAAGATCTGTTAGCAGAAGGCAGAACTCATGCTTAAATAATCTACGTAATTGGTATCAATGCAGATCGATTGATTTGTTTAAAGCAGCAAGTTCTAAAATATAATTAGCTATTATGAGTGCCAACCTCCGTAGGGAGACGGCATTCTAAGAAGAAGAAAGCTGAATTTATTTTGAAATCTCACACCGGACACCACTGTACAGTTTTTAAATAAAACGAGCGGTTCTTAATTTATATAAATATATTATTTATTTATAAGTTTACAGTTGGGTAATATCTCATCAACTAAACTTAGCTAATATCGAAACTACTTATATATAAAAGCTATTATGTACTAGAATGTTCTGGAGTAGTCCACCTCTAATTCGTTTGTTTGACGGGTCGATCTCTCCCGCGCTCGATACATGTCTGTAACCTTCTAGACGTCTCCAGAGATGCAACCGTTATATGGGTTACGCCGAATGCATGTTCGTAAGTTAAATAAATTGAACATAATATTAGTCGTATAATAACCAAGCCACAACAAAACGTGGCCGGGTCAGCTAGTACCTATATACATTTAATTGTCCTATCATTTTGGTTCCAAATTAGATAAAAAAGAGTCAACGCAGGAAAAATTTTATTTTGATAATTACTAGTTTTCTTTCTTTTTTAACCGATAGTATATCTTTGGTCCTATTAATTTCTCGGCCAACTAATGTGTCCTGTAGGTACCTAATACGCTTTAGTGCTTAATTTAATTTGTTTGACAATCTTCGCTTTATTCTTGACCTTCGTATATTTTGTTTTGTATTTTATAAATGCATAAATTATCGAATTAGTCCTTAAGTCAATTTAATTCACTTCCTACTTGTATTACGTGACCATCATTTCATATCAATTAGGTCAATATGAGTCAATTAACCTATTTGTCCAATTCGTCAGAATTTCAAGTAATAAAACAGGATATTTTACAGGGTCTACAAAAGTAACAAGATTTAATATTATTTCGGAGTTTCAGTTAAAGGTTTCGGATTTTTCAAATAATTCAAGTATCATTGACAAAGACTATTCTCTACAGAATTACGATATATGAACGTTTGGATTTTAATTTCTAGTTTTTAACCCTAATCCAAATACCTAATCTAATATAAACATATAAATTATCTGATAGAGACAACAAAAATAAATATTTTAAAAAGATGAACCGAACTTTTTTATGAAAAGATTTAAAAGTAATTATATAAGTCAAATGAGGATTAAATAACACTGTTTGAAACATAAACCAGAGGGAAAAAGCCCTCTCAATAGATGAGATGAAAGCAGCACCCAATAGTCTAAAAAACAAGTCATCTAGCTGAGATAAAATAGCTAAAGAACTAATAAAAAAAGTTACAATTCACTATTAAAACTATACATGAAATAGTATTCAATATATGAAAAAATAAGCAAATACCATGGGACCAACTCGAAT